CAGATTACCAACACATTCTGAATCAGTAACTTCACGATCATCAATCGATTTGTAGCTAGGCAGAGAACTTCTGGAAACTATTATTTATTTCTAATATATATAAACGATTTGCCTAGTTTTATTGAGTCCCGACACGAGGTCGTATTATTCGCAGATGATACATCTTTATTATTTAAAATTAAACGACAATTACAAGTCTATGACGAAGTGAATGATGCGATTTCGTGTGTGGTTCATTGGTTCCGTATCAATAACCTATTATTGAATAGTAAAAAAACGAAATGTATTAAATTTACTTTAAAATGTATTAAATCATCTTTAAATGTGAGACAAGTAGATAGTAATGTAATTGTTTCTGAGGAATCATTGGAGCTTGTTGAGTCAACCGTATTTCTTGGTATAACAGTGGACTCCAAACTGCAGTGGGGACCTCATATTCATAAATTGGCGAGTAAGCTTAGCTCTGCAGCATACGCAGTAAAAAAAAATAGAATGTTAACAAATGCGGACACGGCTCGTTTAGTTTACTTTAGTTACTTCCACAGTGTCATGTCCTATGGCATTTTGCTATGGGGCAATGCGGCCGATGTAGAAATGATATTTATTCTGCAGAAAAGAGCTATACGTGCTATTTATAACATGCACTCAAGGGAATCCCTGAGGGAAAAATTTAAAGAAATTAAAGTTCTCACTATGCCATCCCAGTACATCTTTGAAAATTTGATGTATGTTCGTAAACATATTGAGGAGTTTCCTAAGATGTCGGACATACATAATAGAAATACTAGGAACAAACACAAGCTTNATAAATAAAATAAAAAAGAGAAGATTGCACAAAGTGGGAATGAGTTGCTCGCTCCGGACATTTCAATATTGCAATAATTGTTACGTTACAATATTCATTGTAAAAATTAATAAAATAAAAAAATCTAATATAAAAAAAAAAAAAAAAAAAACATGCCCGCTGAGTTTCTTGCCAATTCTTCTCAGGACGGAGGCTAATTCTTGTGAATTGGCGGTAATTCTTTTGACGTTCAACAAGTATGTACTTTCATTTATGTTGAATAAAACTTTTTTGATTTGATTTGATTTGAAACCGAGCAAACGAATTAATTAGCTGGAGAACTGACTAATTTACTTGGGTCATATTGTTACAAAAACTACTTAATCGTGCTATGTTTGTAATGAATGATTGAATGTCAATCTGTCTTACTATTATAAAACAATATTTAATGCCCTTTCTTCAATAATTCTTTATCACACATTTCACAACGTCCATTAACCGAAAAATTATTTAAACAACTGTCAATTGTCATATGACAGATTGACATTCAATCGTTCATTACATGTTATTATCTTTTTTTGTTTGATAGATAATTAGATTTCCCAGGTTAGTCAGGGAATCAACGATTTAGCCCCTCTTTTTTGGTCACTGGGAAATTATCTGACTTTCAGCTAAATGTTGGGAATGCTATGAACTTACGTTTTAATCCTCTAAAGCTAAATGTTGCCTAACAGTCCCACCATGCCACCATCGAAACTGGAGATAATTGCTATACATCAAAAATAGTGGTACATATGTTTTAATGCTAAGCAGAAATCGGTAGGATATTTGGTAAGAAGTTTTTAAAAGTTTTGTTTGCATTTCGAGCTCATATACCTTAGTTAAATAACACTCTATCATAGCCTAATAATACAAATTCATCAGCATGACTGTCTTTTCCTGTTAACAATATATTTGTTAGTATTTGGTTCGCAAAATTTGCCTACTGTACTGTACTGCCGGAGTCAGTGACTTTGTTGAAGCTATTTGGTATTCCGAATCTGAGTGTATGTAGGGAGAGTAAATTTTTTTCTAATCCCTTTTTTTTGTAGATGCTACGATTTGAGTCTTTGTGTTATGGGACACGAAGACTGTGTGAGCTTTGCTGGGCGTTACTTGTTTCTCCCGAAGAAAATCTAGGAAAAAGTTTCAAAACGCCAAAACTTTAGATTCAAGGTCAACTTTTTTTAATTACCCTTGCAGGCAGACGAGCATACGGCCCACCTGATGGTAAGTGATTACCGTCGTCAATAGACTTCGGAAATACTATGGGCAGAGCAAAGCCGCTGCCTACCGTGATATTTATATTATTAGATTGTAGGCAGCGGCTTGGCTCTGTCCCTGGCATTGCTGGAGTCCATGGGCGACGGTGACCACTCACCATCAGGTGGGCTGTATGCTAGTCTGCCTACAAGGACAATAAAAAAAAAATACATTTGTGCAATTCACACGTGGTAGAAGTGAAACCTTCCAAAATTAAAATACAATTATCCTAAACGTCTTAAGTATATGTAAAATTTTGTCATTAGTAAATAATTGTAAGGTAGCGCCCTCTGTGAATTGATATTTTAATTTCACGTATAATCCTAAATTAAAATTCACTACAAGAGCTTTCATACACACGTTAGTATTAAAAAATCTCNACTACAAGAGCTTTCATACACACGTTAGTATTAAAAAATCTCACAGATGGCGCTGTATTAAATAGTATGTATATTTCTGTCTCATTCTTTGCTGGCTTCATCCTACACATTTTTGTATTTGTGTCTCTTACCTGTCGTTTTTCCGTTGCATCCGGTTTGAAATCACAACGATTCTAAAGAAGTTTTCACTTCAAAAATTATAGACTTCAGCAATGCCAGGGGCAGAGCCAAGCCGCTGCCTACCGCTTAATACTCTCTACAAAGTTTAATACTCTAAACATATATAAACATATATGTACATCTATAAATGTACAGAAAGCACTCTGTTCGCTATACTTATGACCAAACTGTTTTATTTACAATTTTTTCGCAATTGAAACCTTATAGTATGCCTTACTTGAGGAGTCATAGAATCATATAGTATTTATTGAGTTTTATTATTATTAGGGTACTATCGCTTCTTTTTGACCAATGTCTAAACCAGGGGTCGGCAACGCGGCGCCTGCGGGCGCCATTTTTAATTTTACGCGACCGATTTACTTACTCTTGTCAAACGGCGGTATACAGCAAGTAGTCAGTTGAGTTTAGGATTGTGCATAGATGAGCAGTTTGCTAACCTTGAGCGTATCTAATAACACGCACGTATTTTTTAGTGTGTGATCGTATTTCGAATAGACCACGCGTAGACCGTGCATTTAAAACTACCAAGTAATCCGAAATCATTAATTTCTTTCAATACCGAACAAAGCTTAATGACTCACATTTAGATAATTGTTTAAGGACCGGGAACTCAAAATATATCCCCAATTATAAGATATTAAATAAAGTTAAAATAAAGTTATAAGAAATCTGTTTTTTTAATGCCTATTGATACCTGTTGATTATCTGTAAAATATGCGCCCTCGGTGATTTTCAAATTTAGTATAGCGCCCTTAAAGACAAACAGGTTGCCGATCCCTGGTCTAAAGACTAGTCTGAGCCGTAGATTTAACATAAATCTAAGGTTTAGGCTTAGATTCTCAGTTCGGATAAAGAACTCAGTGGACTTGGTAAAATTACTAAAACTTAAATTAAATACTATATAATTAAACCGGCTAAAAAGAATTTCGCTGAATTCTTTATAAATAATGCGTAAATTTCAAATCTCTGCGATTTGTACTTGCATAGAGCAAAAACCGGGAAGATATCGGTTAGAAATATCAAATCTCATACTAAAATCGCACTTTATTGGTTATTAATAATGAAATCGAAAATTTCATGAACAATAATACTACTGAGGTGCGCAATCCATAATATGTATTAAACCTACGAAAACATCTTTGTTTGTCAAGCTCAAACAATTGAACGGAATTCGACGAAATTCGGTAAAGAAATAATTTGAACCCTAGACAAGAAGACAAGAAGGGTCGTCGTACCCCCTTTCGGGGGCACGGAACGGGCCTCGGGGCAAACCCCACTGCCCGGAACGAAGCTCCCTGCCACACAGGGCAGGGGTGAAGTGTTGCAAGACGGGATGATTAGGGGGGCTGTTCGTATGCGCGTTCGGCGCACTCCACATCGACAAAAATATATACATAAACATAATACGATGGGCTTGATCTTAAGCGACGGCTTGATGCCCGCGGAGGAGTCACCCCGGCGCCGGCTGCTGTCCTCTGCTTGATNAATTTGAAATGTTTTTAGGTGTATGCGGGCCGCGTGAGCGAACACTACACTTGCATAGGTCATGACGGGGCGTATGCAAGTTTTGTAGAGTGTCACCTTATTTCTAAGGGACATTTTACTTCGCCTACATATCATCGGGTAGAGACGTCCTAGAATGAAGGCGGCACGGTCGCGTACCGTCTTAATGTGGGGGCGGAATGTCATCTTAATCTAGAGTGTACATATAGTTATATAGTGATTATAATGTACCTACATGAAACAGGAGCTCAGTTTGAATTCAATGCATCTATAGTTTTTTATAAATCAGGTTTTGCTTCACCGACGTTTTGTAGCGACTGGTGGTAGGACCTCTTATGAGTCCGCGCGGGTAGGTACCACCACACTGCCTATTGCTGCCGTGAAGCAGTAATGCGTTACGGTTTGAAGGGTGGGGCAGCCGTTGTAACTATACTTGAGACCTTGAAACTTATATCTCAAGGTGGGTGGCGCATTTACGTTGTAGATGTATATGGGTTCCAGTAGCCACTTAATACCAGGTGGACTGTGAGCTCGTCCACACATCTAAGCAATAAAAAAAAAATTAAACATCTACGCTAAGTCTAATCTTTAGTCTACTTACAAACATAGTTTTAAGGTCCATTACATACAAGCAATGGCTAATTGGCAATGGCAACTTTCAATTTAAATTTCATTTTATTACATGAAAACCTTTAATTTTCTACAGAAATATGATATATTTTTGATATAATAGATACTTCTGAATATCATAGAATAGATTTTGAAAATTGGTCATCGTGCCTATTGTACGATTTGAAGCATGTTATCTATTGCTTAAATGTCACAGTAACGCTTAAGTTACATGATTGCAGAACAGCCTCAAGCCATCAAATCATTGCCAAGTCCAAATGTCGGTTATGCCAAGCGGGGCGGGTTCACGACAAATCGATATTAAATATACGGTTTTGTTTCGCACCGAAAACGATGAAATTGAAGAAATACAGCCGATAACAAAAACTATTTGCACTGTATGGTATGATGGAATATATCCAAGCATTAAGGTAATTTAATTTAAGGCTATTTGAAGTTTTCATTCGTTTTTAGCGATGCAGCTTTGCGGGTGTTCGAATCCCGTGTGAAGATTCTAATTTGTTTTTAAATAATGAAATGCATACTTAACTAGTGTTATCAAACGAATTTCACGATGAAATAATAACAACGTGTAATATAATCAAACGCGTTAAAAATTATATTATAATTTGTTTATGTGGGATGGTGTGTGGTGGTAGGCCGTTTTGTGAGCCCGGACGGATAGGTCCCACCAACTTGCCGTTTTTTGCCCTGAATCAGTAATGCTTTTCGGTTTGAAGGGCAGCCGTTGTACTATAAAGCAGACTTTTATTTAGGCATTTATTTATGTTGTTTACGTGCTCCAGTAACGGGCTGATCGATAGATTTCAAAATCTATATTATAACCTACCTATAGTAGTATCGAATCGTAGTATCGCTTCACTAGTTTAAATGAAGTCAAAGCCCGTATCTATTAAATATTAGTGCTATTTCAGATTAAACGTACTATCTCTGTCAATTGTCCAGTGATTCTGAGCAATCATTGCCTTTGGAATTTAGTTAATGTGGACGAGTAAGTATTGCTTGCACTTTGGCTATTGAATGTAAAGCTATTGACAGATTGTGCCAATTAAATTTTCTTTAGGCTTAACAGGGCTCTCATCGATTGCCGTCCCAACAAACCAATTTCCGTAAATATTTACGCCCCTGATCTTTGCATCCGCACCGGTTCCGTCGTCTTTATATTCGTGATGGGCTGCATATATTCCGTACCTGTGGCTTGGAGTCTCAAGAGGGAAAAGATATGTGATTGCGAAATGACTGAGGTGCAAGTCGGCATTTCTTTGTACGAAATGAAGCATACCTGCTCTCATAGATTTTTGGTAGAATTAACACCACTGAACGGGATGGTAGCGGTAAATAGCTTTATTTTTTTGACTTCCATTCAAATTTTCATAGGTAAGCTGATTTAAGACATATTTAATTTTTAGCCTGATAATCCCGAATTGTTAACGCTAAAGTTCAACTATGCTTATGAAGGCTTGAACACATTATCTTACATAATGACTTTACCGAACCAAAGGACGATACGTATTTACCTTAACATCTTTGCGACTTTAAACACGAAAGGTGTTTTGACAGCGCTCCGACGATGCATATACCAGCCAGGATACTTGGCAGTTCTAGACTGCGGAAAAGTTCCGATCAACAATTTGGATCCAGTTATAAGGGTAATTTTATTGTATGTATTGTATTTAGTGTCAGGAAACCGTTGTCGAAAACGAAGATAAATAATTGTAATGACCGAACAAAATAAGATTAAATTGTAAAAAAAAATGATAATACACGATTTCACTGTTTAGTAACATTAAAGGTATAAAACTATGGTTCTTCGGTAATCAATACATCGGCCCCGTAATTCAGAACAACAAAGTATCGCTTATGGCTTTAGGTATATGAAATAATATTATAAAAAATATTAACATTAGATTGGTACTAAGTGCTACTTAAACATTGTTATTTAGTATACTTTTGTACATTTTTATTTGACTAATCATACTAACGTTGTTTTCCGGTTACATTTAGATACCATATCTTCTCTATTTGGTAGACAGCGTGCTTGGCTGTGCCCCTCGCATTGCTGAAGTCCATGGGCAACGGTAACCACTCACCATCAGGTAGGCCGTATGCTCGTCTGCCTACAAGGGCAATAAAAAAAAAAAAACTTCTATACTATTAACTCTGCTCTACTCAATACTACTTACTGCCTCGGAAGGTTCGCTCACAGACAGTATACAAATGCGATAAGTTGCAATGAAATATGTTGGGTTCATCCGCAGATTGTGTGGTTGTACAATCCGACGGATGTATTTACGACGTGGCGTCTGCTGCGCGGGAACACAACCTCTCCGGATTCTATAATCCGCTGTTTGCTTTATTTCGCCGAAGTGCCTCCATTGGGGAAACTGGCTATACCATTCGCGTTTATGCCTACTGAGATGATAGATTACGAGGTACGCCATGTGTGTTTAACCAAGTGCTTTTTAGCGGGTAGACGATTTGACGGATCACCCGGTATTAGGTTATGTGAGCCTATTGACATCACATGTTTTCGAACATCGCTTTTATCCTTTAAATCCAAACGCATTACTGTCTCTCTTTAAGAATAGGTAGATTAGTGGTGCAACAATAACAATGCAAAATTCTAAGTATGCAGATAGAGAGAGAGAGAGACCGTATTCCTTATTGTATACTAGTGACCCGCCCTCGCTTCGCTTCGGAAACTGTAATTTATTATTGATTTCTCCACTATTTAATGGGTGTTATTATAAATATAAACCTTCCTCTTCAATCACTCTATCTATTAAAAAAAAACCGCATCAAAATCCGTTGCGTAGTTTTAAAGATTTAAGCATACATAGGGATATAGGGACAGAGAAAGCGACTTTGTTTTATACTATGTAGTGATTGATAGCTTATTCATATTGATGGAACACCATACCGTTTCGTTCGCAGATGATATTTCAGTGTTCGTTTGGGTATGACACTGTTAAACTTTTAGTAAAAGGGCAAGGTGGTCTTCCGAATTGCATTGAAACGAGACTCGATGTCCCGAGGTACGTGGAAAAAAACATCAGGGCGGCTCACAGAAATGGTCTTGTATGTATTGTCATATCATTTTCTTCGAACGGTGAAAGTTTTCTTTCTCACAAAAGGCATTGTTTTTGTAGGTATATTTATCGATGGAACACTTGAGTTTACCTGTAATGCCGACTCATTCGTTGTCGCGAGAAATTATAGCTATAAATAATGACACCGAACACGTAATTCGATTTATATGGTTGCCGTAAGTTTTCTTCTTTTCAAGTAGATTCTGGTTTATATCAAACGATTTCAAACAATAAAACGTAGCGTCTTAATTGGTGACGTGTCCTTTTTAAATTTAATATTCCTATGTGGAATTGGTTCGAAATTATCAGATCTTCTCTTTTTTACAACCGCCAACGTTTTACCGGAGCAGAGTTCGTTGCACTACCTTGGAAACTCATCATCTACAGTGCGTTCTAAGCTTCGATCAACAATAATAATATTTGTTTCAACAATTTTTTTTTTGCCACGTGACTTTGAAATGAAACCTCTGTGCTATCATAGTGTCTAGACATATCTTTCTTGAAACGTTATTTGAGAAGGGTACATATTGGCAGCCAGCGTTTCTCATACGATCATCTGCCTTCGATAACAATGAAAAATATTTTATCAAACTAAACTTGCATATAATTGCTTTATGCAAGTTATTCAGCCTTATCCTGCCTTTCAAAACGTTTTTTTTTCGGAGTTGGAAATAAACCTAGAACATTTTATTTTATTAGGGGACATTATCCCCTACACTGGTTAATCTATGTTTTTAGTGAAAGAATAGCAAACATAATAAACGTGGTTATGACTCCGTGTTGGGGTGTTGTACAGCCTAAAACGACGGAATGGATTACAATGACTGTTTATTCTTTACAAGAACCGGCCACTTTCACGTAAGTCGTTCTTCATTTTTTGTATTCCTTTAGCACTAAGTATTAGTCTTGCTCTAGCACTAACTTAGGTAGGATCTTCTGAAAATCACTGTCGCACCTATTTCTAAGTAAGCCGATCACTGTCCTCGCCGAACCCGTTGCTTGCGACGAAGGGCTCGACGAGTAAATTAACCCATAGACACAGCCCACTGAGTTTCTCGCTGTATCTTTTCAGTGGCTCGCGTTTCTGATTCGGTGGTAGATTCTTCGAAGCACTGCTCTTGCTAGGGCCCGTGTTATCAACACTCCCGGGTTTGAGCCCCGTGAGCTCACCTACACGTCAAGGAGAAGCTGAAATAGCCTCTCAAGGCTATCAGCATAGGTTGAAAAAAAAGACGATTGATGTTATAACAATGCAACTGAAATTTAACTTCGTTTTAGGCAGTAGTCACATCAGCGGATTTCACTCCACTCACACCGCCTTACATAATTTCGGTCTTTATACTCTTGGACGTATAAAACCTATGTAAATAATAAAACTTTTATTCATGAGCATCATTAATTAAAACCAAAATAATTTCGAAGGTTATTTTATTAAGTAATGGGAAATTCGATGGATCAATTATCACACAACATCCTTCGGTCTAAATCCATCGAACAAACATTCATCAGAATACTTCTTAAGACTTCAACGGAAAAAAATGTTCCTTTTATAATATTTTTATGTATTTCATGATTAAAAATTAAAACGAGTACAATGATTAATTGAATAACTCAAATTATACAGTACGACGGTCGCGTGTGAGATTTTAGATTTGACAGAACGCAAGCGCTACCAACGGAACGAATTACTCAGGAGGAATAAAATGGAGAAATGCAAACAGGAATTTATGATTACGGAGAAAGGCTTTTTTCGTCCCGTAAGTGGATTCCACTTTGATCACTAAAATTTGACTTAATTTTCAAACTTATTTGAGTAAAACCTTTGCCAAATGAAGAGTGGCCGCAAATAGAAAAGGGCGGAATCAACTTGCATCCAATCAGGGTATGCATTGTTCAAATTATCTACTGTTTGTTAATGAAAATTAGAAATAATAAATTTCTACTAATAGAAAATTGTTCATAATAAAAAAAAAAGGTCTAAACTAAACATTTTAAATCTATCAATAACAGGGCATAAACGATTCTCCTCCCTATGTACTGGACCTCGAAAAACCGAAGCCATTTTATTTGGCTATGTCAATTTCTATATCATCAAAAGGTCAACGTGATGGATACCCGAGAATGCTGCTAAGGCAAATGTGGGAACAGGTAAATGGTTTACAGTAATCAATAGTTTCATAGTTGTTTGTAAGAATTTCGTAAAGTTTTCACACGCTGATTTTAACAGGAATCGTTTCAGCTTTAACGCATATGAAACGCTTTAGAGCACGGTCAAGGCAATTTTGTCGAAATTTCATGGGACTTAAAATTATATAGGATTTAAATCGTTTTGTAACTGGAATTATATGCTATTTTATATATATTTCATGCATATTCAAACCAAATATGTGTTCGAAAATGGGAACCAGTATGGATGTATTACTCGTACTTACCCACCACAATCGTTTTCGAAGCGCACGCTACTATTGTACATAGCTATGCAGTATCTCTTTTTTTTTGGTATTTGGATTTTTATTCTAGAAAAAAAGATTAACAACTAAATACAAAAATACACAAGCCTGTTGAATTTGATTCTCTTCTGAAAACAGTTAAATCTTTTTGGAACCGCTGGTAGGGTTTTTATTCTCTTTCAATGGGTACCTACTTAAGTTCAATGACACTGAAACGGAAATAGCTGATTTTATTTTTTTCATCTTTTTCCGCATTTTGGGAAAGTTAACGTTAATTTTACGATTTCTCGCAGACTCCACCCTATGATTTGATGTCATCAGATATCAATGATTATGGAGGAAACTACGAAAGAGCTTCGCACAGCAATAACATGACTATTGGAGATGTCATTAGGATCATAGATGGCATTCTGTGGTATGGAATTTATAGTGTTTTCATCATTATTTTTCTTTACAATAATTGTATTATTGGCCCGTATTCTTTGGAAGCAAATAGCTTAGTCAGTAACTTAGTCGTACCCCTAGCATACGAAGATGTCAATGGGCGGAGGTAACGACCAACCAAGAAAGCTTTATTACCACTTTACCGGTGATACGATAGATTGTAAAAACGCCAGGTTTTTTTATTTATTGCTTAGATGATAATTTATTGCTTAGGTTAGCTTCTTCCATACAGCCTATTTCTACCACGAGGCAGTCATGGGTTTCGGTTTCAAATATAGTTCAACCACGTCCTATACAATTGGGACTGATCTTTAGGACTGGTGGTAGGACTTCTCGTGAGTCCGCGCGGGTAGGTACCACCACCCTGCCTATTTCTGCCGTTAAGCAGTAATGCGTTTTTGTTTGAAGGGTGGGGGAAGCCGTTGTAACTATACTTGAGACCTTAGAACTTATGTCTCAAGGTGGGTGGTGCATTTACGTTGTAGATGTCTATGGGCTCCAGTGACCATTTAACACCAGGTGGGCTGTGAGCTCGTCCACCCATCTAAGCAATTAAAAAAAAAATTGTCTCAAGCTGGATGCCGACATTCATGAATGAATGTCTATGAATTGTCTACGTAAATTTTTAATGCGCTCTAAAGATTTACAGAGTTATTATTCTATTACGCAACTAAAACATCAAAAGTCAACCGAAGATTGTCCATACATAACTCATAACTACTTCTCACATAAACGCACAGTTCATCTTACATGTAGATTGTTTTCCAGGGACGCCTTGCACAGCAAAATGTTCAAGAACCAAATAGAATTTTATGCCAAAGAAGAAATACCCACTTATTCACAGCTTGTCGAAGTTATTGAAAATGAAACCAAGCCACAACTAAGCAGACGGTGATCAGAATATTAAATTTCATTATAGGATAGATGATTAAACTAGCTCAGTCTACCTTGAGACACGAAGCAGACCTGCTACCTAATTTCGCGAACAACATTTGCGGGTATTTTTTTTCAACGCGACTTGCTCGGCTGACTTCTTGTCCCGAAAAAGTCCTGAAATCAGTTCGTAGCGTCACCTATAGTAGAATTATTTTGTCCGTGCAGTTTGAGTCATAAAACATAGCCCGGCTAGGGCGGTGAGCATGTTGCGCGGGCGCAACGCCATTATCGATAAAAACAAATGAGTCATCGAAGGCAGGTACACGGCGGCGGGGTGATATACGAAGGGTGGTGAGACATTGTTATGTTAAGAGTCATTGGTACTTACCTGCAAATTATAGTACATTATGTCGAAGAGAAATGTTTTTATGCATTCATTCTCTGAATTTCTTTAGTAACACAATGGTTACTTCTTTGTTTTGTATCAAAACGGCAGAATTTATTATTATTATATATTATATATTTGCGCGTGTTGTTATCAACAATGTGTTAAAAATTTTCACTGAAATAAGAATAGATCCCGAAAATGACAAAACTAAATACACTATCGATAACGCTTATCGACAACAATAATGCGCATCACTATGCCCGTCCATAAGGCTTGTGAGTGGAAGAGAGAGCGAAATACTCGCTTACCGCTCCGATTTTTTACTACCCAAACTGCACGGACAAAATAATTCTACTATAGTGGATTCTATTGTAAATCCAAACTACCTAGGAAACAACTAAAATGCATAAAAAACATAAATGAGAATCATTTTCGTAGAACTCAGCATACGTTGCCTATTCGTTTTGTATACCAAAATTTGGCTTGTGTTTTTACTATGTTGATTTTAATTTGACACCTTATATTATAAGTATTGTTAAGACAATTTACATAAATAATTTTGTAACATCAGACTTTAGATGACGCAACTTTTAAACATATTAAGTATGATACCATCCAAAATTTCGAGTATGTACAATTTTTTTTCTATACAGCACAGTAAGTCAGCCCAGCTCTTCGAGTCGTTCTCAAATGGATCTCTCTCTATAATATTCATTGGAATTGGTGTTAATTTATATTGATATTATTAAATAATTAACGCTTTGTGCCAGTGATGTTTAAGAAAATCACATCGTGTCTATGATCACACTTATTTTGTCACGAAATTTAATTGTTCTTGTCCGCAGGGTTACTTCTGGTATTTGCGACGCGATAGTCAACAAGGCCGTCTTCCACATCTACGGCCTTAACCCAAAACACGAGACTTCGATTTTAGATGCAGAATAAATTGCGTCATAAATACGTTTTTTTTTTTTGTTTTGTATAAATAAAACAAACGAAATAGTGAAAAGATTTTTATTTACGATTTTCATTTTCGCATCGGTTAAATCTTACAAAATAACATATCACAAATCATGAATGACTAATCATCAGTCTAGGATCCTCTCAAGTTTAAATTGCAATCGTTTGGGTTGGGGAAACGCTATGACGGTGACTTCTACCCTGTCGCCCAGTCTAGGAGTAGAACTAGCCCCCAATTTACTTTTGTGTATGAGGCCGTTCTCGCCAACGCCACAGTCGACAAAACAACCGAAGGGAACGACGTTACGAACCACACCTGTAAGATAAAGATTTTTAACATAATTAATGATGGTCTGAAAGTAATAACAGAAATTATCAGTAATTTGCGTAATTAGTGGCTATAGGACATATCGCACATTTAGAATTGAAGAGGCTTAATTAAAAAAAGTGTTTATTGGTAAACGTCAAAAATGTAATTGAAGAATTGTAATTTTTTAGTTTTTCCATTTTAATAACTTATGGTATGTGCTTAATTTAAAAGAGACAGTTTAATTTTATAAGCTGATAGGATACATGTTTTTAAGCAGTACAAAGTAAAAACACATTGAAATGAAATAGTTGTGCCACATGAAAGTGGCACCTGTGACAGAGAAGCTGAGGAGTGCACGTTTGGGATGGTATGGACATGTGATGAGACGGAATGAAAATGAGGTTGTTAAGAGAGTGTTAACTATGAATGTGGAAGGATTTAGAGGAAGAGGTAGACCTAAGAAGAAATGGATGGATTGTGTGAAAGACGATATGGGTAGGAGGGGAGTGAGCGAAGAAATGGTATNGAGTGTTAACTATGAATGTGGAAGGATTTAGAGGAAGAGGTAGACCTAAGAAGAAATGGATGGATTGTGTGAAAGACGATATGGGTAGGAGGGGAGTGAGCGAAGAAATGGTATATGATAGAAGAGTATGGAAGGAGAAAACATGTTGCGCCGACCCCAGGTGACTGGGAGAAGGGCAGGATAATGATGATGATGAAAGTAAAAACACATTTTCTTAAATTTTTGACTTGACTTGACCTAAAGGTCTTATTTACCGGGTCATAGCATCCTTTAAAAAAAAGTAAGCTCGAATGGGTTCGTAGTATTTCTCCCATTTCTGCCGCGAAGAAATCATATGTTCCGGTTTGTAAAGTGGGAGGGTAATTGAGATGCTACAGTTGAGACTTGACGGTGTTCACATCCGACTATGTCTAGGAACTGCCTTAATTTAGGTGCATGAATGCAATAACAAAACTAGCCTGTGAGAGTCATTCCCTCCTTGAGTTGCTCCTTGACTTGAACGGATAAAGAATAAACTGGCTTCACGAATCGAATAATGTTCTCTTCGTACGACTTCTGTTTGAACGCGCTTATTATCAATTCTAACGTGCCGACGTCAGTTTGTAGATCTTCACTGATCCGGTCAATGTTAATAGAGGATGTCTTCTGCTCAACTAGTGCCGGAAAATTTAACTGAGACATTTCGTTTATGTTCACGCCAATCTTTTTGGCGAAGCTAGAAAAAAGAAAATTTTGTAATCATCACGTCTCCTGCGGCTTTTTGGCGGGAACGCGAGGAGTGAAGTTGTGGTTTTTTTTTTTATTTTGTCTATTTAGTGTTTCTTCAGATTTGAATGCGTAATAACGGTGGTTTATTAACCGTTTAGTATCTGTGAAAGTGCACAAATGTGGGAAAATGAAACAAAGCGGCTGGACGTAACTTCTTGGGACGTCCAAAAAGTTCACTGAAAAAAGTGAACGACCACCGTTTTACTAAGATTATATTTCATCCCATATCATCGCATTTCATTTCATTTTCATATTATTCAATTTCATTTCATCTCACTCATATTATCATTTTTCATAAAAGATTAGATGAATTAAAATAAGTCTTGACCTTAAAAGTCTTAGTTACCGGGTCATAATATCCTTTAAAAAAATCATTCTCTAGCCTTTCTCTCAGTCACATAGGGTTGGCGCAGCATGTTTTCTCCTTCCATACTCCTCTATCGTACACCGTTTCTTCGTTCACTACCCTCTTACACATATGGTCTTTCCAGCAATCCATCAATTTTTTCTTAGGTCTGAAGCCTTGCACGTTGATTTATTCATTTCAAAAAGAAAACTTTGTAATATAAAATAAAAATTAGCCATCGCGGGAATGCTGGCAGATGTGAAACATTGATATTATTTTTTACAGGTACAAATGCATAAAAGTATAGTTTACGACAGGAAATTTATGTGATCATTATGTGTTATCATGAATAATAAAATATTAATGTAACAATACATAGTAACAGTCGCTTGCGCATGGCGACGCGTCACCACACCGTACACTCTACTAAACATAGACTGTATATACATATTTTAATCTGACATATCTCCTCTTTGGTTGAGAATTCCAAATTCAAATTTATAAATTCATTTAGCTGATACGTTTGAGTTTGAGTCATTCATTTGTTTTTTTCTCAGTATTTTTTTCTTTGGCGTCGCTTATTTCCGCACAATGGAAAACATGAAATATCGGTATATTTACGAGTAGGAGTTCTAGCGTGGCAATAGTGCTGCAGAAACAGCTCGAAGGATTAATGATGTGTACGGCGCTGGTGTCGTAAAAGAAAGCACGGTACGTTTTTGGTTTCTACGTCTTCGTTCTGGAAATTTCGACCTTCAGAACCAACCCCGTGGACGGCCGGAGACCAAAGTGGAAAATGAAGAATTAAAGGCTATTGTGGAAGCGGATCCAGAGGTAGCTGCAGGCTTCGGGGTAAGTGATAAAACTGTATTAAACCACTTGAAGCAAATCGGTAAAGTAAAAACACTTGAAGATGGCTACCTCAAGAATTGAGTGAACCGAACTTGCAAACACGCGTCGACTGCCGTGTTACTTTGCTCAACCGACACAATAATAAAGGGATTTTAAATCGAATCACTACTTGTGATTAAAAGTGGGTACTGACTGTACGATAATCGGAAGCGCTCGTCGCAATGGCTGATCCTGGAGACCTAGCCAAATCCTGCCCTAAACGAAAATTTACTCAGAAAAAGTTACTTATGAATATTTGATAGACTAGCGAATTCATTCATTCATTGTTTATGGGGTCCGGTAACAACTTAACACAGATGAACTTGTTGAGCTATCTGTCTATATCTATGTCTATAAAAAGAATTGATTGGTGTGGTGCGGAATACCGGTCATTGTTTTTCTCGAACCCGTCGCCTGCGACGAAGGGCTCGGCGAGTAAATTAACCCACAGACACAGTCCACTGAGATTCTCGCCGGATCTTTTCAGTGAGTCGCGTTTCCGATCCGGTGGTAGATTCCGCGTAGCACGGCTCTTGCTAGGGTTCGTGTTAGCAACACCGTCAGGTTTGAGCCCCGTGAGCTCACCTACTCGCTCGGTGACGCTGATATGGTCTCTCAAGACCATCAGCTTAGGTAGGAAAAAAAGGTCCGGAAACTAAAACTATACTTACGATTTCGCAACAGTGTAACTCTCGGGGTGTATTATTGTCGCGTCGAGAGGTTCCGGTCCTCCTAATATTTTTAGAAAACCAACACATTGTTGATATGTAATTTTTCCTATACCAGCCACTTTCAGGATCTCCCCTCTTGAACTGAATCCTTCGTTCTTTAGCCGATAGTCTAGAATCTTCTTAGCTTTGCTTTCGTTTAATCCGGATATTCGTCTGTGAGAAAAAATACCTTGTACTAGGGATGATCGATATTCATAAATGTTGAATATCAATTTTGATATCGATGTTTTGGTTTCGATAATATCGACACATCGATGCTATGAGAATAAAAAATCGAATTATCGAAACGTCCATATATTTTTTAGGGCCATCTAACGGTGGATGTACTTTCTAACTAGTGAGTCCTTAAGTAGTACAACTATTTTAAAGTAGATGACACTGATTACTGTAATCGAAGTAAGCCGCACTACATAAATGTGTGTGGAATGAAGAAAATGTAAATTGTGAAGTGTGATGTCGGAGTCAAGTTTAATAATTAAACGCCCGCTTATAATCCGTAAAATGTAATTTTAATTAATAAACACGTATAATAAATAAAATAGACAGTTTTACTTCCTACCAAAAACATCGATGTTTTTAGATATCGATGTTTTGCTATCGACGTTTATCGTACATCGATACTTTTAAATCGATGTTAACATCGATGTTTTTCTCATATCGATCATCCCCACCGTCAACGACCGACGCGCTTCGAAGAGGGGGAGGGGGGGTACGTCACTTATGCTTTAATAAATACTTGATCTCCGTTAAAAATTTAATAGACTCGTATCCTTTTTAAGTCATAAGGATAATACGCCAATAAAAAGTTTGTAATGTTTAATGACTTCACCGGCGTATGGTGTTCGATCTAGGCATTCACTCTTTCATAAAATGTTACGTCCTTTTGTAACTGATTTTATAAAATGTTTAAGTCAGAAATGAAAACAGGAAATATCTGTATTTTGTTCTAGACTAGCGCACGGTTCACTTGGTGTTGACTTGAATGCGTATTGCATAGACATCACAACGGGAAAGTCGAGATTCACTTTAAGATCTCTTGGCATTGAGGCCACAGCGAGCTAACAATACGTTCTATAACCATTAAATACTATCACAACAGAAGAATGCCTACTTATATAAGTATCTGCTACGCTACTGTCAGGACAATTATGTAACATAAACTGACATCTGTCCACTACAGGACTCAGATTGAAAATAGATTTTTTTATTTTTTTATTGCTTAAGTGGATAGTCAAGCTCACGGCCCACCTGGTGTTAAGTTGTTACCGGAGCCCATAGACATCTACAACGTAAATGCCGCCACCTACCTTGTGATATAAGTTCTAAGGTCTCAGTATAGTCACAACGGCTACCCCACCCTTCGAACCGAAACGCATTACTGCTTCACGACAGAAATAGGCAGAGTGGTGGTACCCACCCGTGCGGACTCACAAGAGGTCCTACCACCAGTAACATAAATAATCGAGATATTTATTTATATTAATACGAATAAATATAAATATGCAATCGTTTTAAAATAAATTTGTGGGTATTGTACTCAAATAACCTTAACATAGCCAGCGATGCAGTGTTGATGTCAACACCAACCAAACTGACTATTTGCTCTACGGTAGAATCCAGTGCTGTTTCTAGCATTTTTGTTGGAATATCGTGTTGGTACATGCCCACTCCTAGGTGCTTCGGTTCCACCTAAACAATAAAATACTGTGATTATTATTCAATAAATATTTAAAGAAAATCTAGCTCACATAATGATTCAAGAAGATATGACTTGCCTTAATTAGCTCTCCGAGTGGATCCAATACTCTTCTAGCAATGGATAGTGCGGATATTAAATTAGGGTCCATATTTGGATGTTCCTATCAAATAAAGAGGTTATACTCAATTAAGTAATTTCCAGTTTGAATTGTTAAAAAATGTTAGGCATTTAAAATCTACTTTTTGGGCTTCTTTGCTAATTGAATAAATGGAAGCGCCTTGTTCGGGTACAATAATAACTGGAATATCTTCGCTGATGCGATACTCCTTAAGCCAAGTCTCAGTTTCACGACACGCGGTGCCATTTCCTAGGCCGATTAATTCCACCCTGAAAAATATTGTGGATAAAAATTATTGGCAAAACACTACAATCTATGGTATAAGTAACGAATAAATTCAGTTTATTATTGACTATCATTTTTCTATAGCATGATATAGATAGGCATAGGCTCATAACACATCCAACCAAAAGTCAAATAAAATAGATAATAAAAAATAAAAAACTTACATGTGCTTTTTTAATTGGCTCTTCAGATATGACGCTGCCGGATCATTTTCGTTCTTCCTTCGTAAATCAGGATGTAAAGTAAAGGTTTCCAATTTATCACCATTATGGTTTATTATTCCTACCTATTAACATAGTCATAAAATAACCGGATGATACATTTAATTTTAGTAAAATCTATACAATTTGACCATTGATTGGCATTTTTAAACATTGAAAATGTGTTATTTACCTTACATCCAGCTTTAAAGCCTGGATCCAGACCGGCTATTCGTCTATTTTTAATAGGTTCAGTCAGTAGGTACTTTTCTAAGTTTGTTGTAAAAGTTTTGATAGCCTCTTTTTGAGCGGCTACTGTGAGTTCACTCCGTACTTGTCTTGATAGCCAGGGCTTGATGAGACGACTATAAGCATCACTTAGTCCTTTCTTTATCCAAAATATACCATTCCATAACGTGATACAAAACCTGAAAAATATTGAGAATTTTTATTAAAGATATAACTATTAGCAAAAGTAAACTCAACGAGTAATACCATTGTTATTTTCTGTTTTGCCTAGCATTTCTTTTAAATTTTACCTTACAATCAAAGATGTAGGTCTACTGTATGAATTTTGAACTATTAAATTTGCCACTTTGTGTAAGACTGTTCATTGCATTTGAATCCACACAGGTCATCATAACTATTTGAAAAGATTTTGAATTTATAGCTCTCTACAAATAACCATCTAAAATTCTCATACAAGGTTTAAAACAAATAACTATTATATATTTATTAATAACTAGAAACAAAACACGCACGGTCATCCATTTCCAGATTAGGATTCTATACAAAGATGAAGATATAAATAATCTTGACCAACCTTTCCAGATTGTTATAAAACCAATCAGGTACAACCACTTTCACAGATAGTATTTTTTCGTCTTCTCCTCGGTTCAGTGCTAATGTCTGATATGATTTAACAAAATGACTGGGGCATTTCCAGTCGAAATATATTTTGTATGTCTCGGGGTCTGATTTTGATTCAATTTTCCTTTGTCCACTGTCTTTTGTTTCTTTCATTGAACTTTTCGTTCTGCTGCTTACAATAGTGAATTTGGTTTCGTCTTTTCTGAAATATTAAATATGATGTTACTAAAACCATTTTACAAGAAAAGATTTGTCCTTTTTGAGAGCAAAGATAAGATACTTCCCAAAATAATGGATTCAGGTCGATCAATATACATTGATCTAGTTTTGCAGTCAAATAGGTCATCAAAATGAAATCAAATAAGTATCCATCACAAAATTAGTACTGACAGTGAGGCGTTAAGCTTAATTCAAAATAACTCACAAACTTCTTATCTTTTCTAATACTCTTGGATCTTTGTGAATGATATCAGCAACAATGTGAGTGATGTGAGCTTCTACTTTATCAACAGTTGATAATTCATCATTTGACTTTGTACATAGTGTTTCAACATCTATGTAATTACCATTTAAAGCATTTCTTGCGTGAGGCTCTAAGCCTAGTTTTTTAGCTCTTTCTGATAATGATAGGGAATGTGATTTCAAAGGTGCATACTGAAATAATAAAATTATTCATTTTATAACTTGATATGATAATAGTGAAATGATTATAGCATAACACTTTTTACACCTCAACTAATGAGGAGCATGTGATCTGAAACAAGCTCATTGAAGGATCACAGAGCTCACTCCAGACCTAACTGGTATAAATAACCATCAACAATGGCTTGAAATATAATACAGAGCGTGCAGTTTTACATACAGAAACAATTACATGCTCTAATTTAAAGAATAGGATTGTGACAGTATATGATTGAGTACAATTGAAACATTTTAAGACACTATTTAAATTATTGTCTATGGGTTGTGGCATACTATGAACTAGGTGACGAAATCATCCAATATATAATTAAAAAATATTGGATTTAAAGGTTTTGAGTAAATTTTGTCTTTACTTACAACCAAATCTAATTCTGACAGATTACGAGCATTTAGGATACTTTTCTCTACATCCAGGGTGAGCTTCTTTGATTTTTTTAATGTTTCTATTACACTTTTTGCTTTTTTCTTCAGTTGAATAACATTCTGATAAGTTTCATATAATTCTTGTAGCCTAGAAAAAAGCGGTTTATAAGTCATTTTAGGCTGTAACATGTGACCATAAAATGGGGAAAACATTCCTATGATGTACCTATTCTTGTTAATCCTAACATTATTAATTAGTAGTAGTAGTAGTAGTATTNTTTTTAATGTTTCTATTACACTTTTTGCTTTTTTCTTCAGTTGAATAACATTCTGATAAGTTTCATATAATTCTTGTAGCCTAGAAAAAAGCGGTTTATAAGTCATTTTAGGCTGTAACATGTGACCATAAAATGGGGAAAACATTCCTATGATGTACCTATTCTTGTTAATCCTAACATTATTAATTAGTAGTAGTAGTAGTAGTAGTATTATTAGACAAAGACCATAAATAAATAAAGAGAATGATCGAAAGCTGATTGATAGTCAGGTGGTCAATAACATTGTCAATAGAAAAGCCAATTGACAGGCAAGCTGTTGATAAAATTTTAATTTTCTAATTGTTTGTTTCATGTATTATGTATGCAGACTTATTTTCCTAATTTTTCTTACATTTATGTTTGCTAAAGTAGACCATTTATTTTAATATATGCATACACAAGACCACTTGTCGGCAACACATGGCTCACGAGCCACTTGCAGCTCTTTTACTCCTCAATTACTGCTCTTCCATTTCTATGAAATGTAGTCCAGGCGTAAATGTTACTTATTTCCTTGCCTTGTAAGAGATGTGTAAACATATTTGAAATTAAAGGCTATAAAAAATGATTTTTTTTAATAAATTGAAATTGTGAATTAACTTTAATTGGGTCACTTGCCGACTGCTGCACTAGACATTGCACTTTTCAGAATAAGGTTTATTTTAATTTCATTTACATAGTAAAAAACCGAATAGGAAACATTAGTTTTGTTAGGAATTTAAATATCTGTTACCTTTTTTCAAATTGTTGTTATAAAATAACATGTTTGAATTTATTTGATATCTATTACATTAAGAAATATAAACTGACCGATCAAGCATCAAATTATCAACAGCAGTTTTCCTGTATCTTGCAATGAAAGGTAAAGTACAACCTTCGGATAGTAAAGATACCAAATTTTTTGCCAAATTTTCTGGTATTTTCTCAACCTGCGCCAAAACAATTGATTCATCCCATAAATCAACCGAACCTTCTGTGGCGTCTGCTTTCGCATCACTTATCGTGCTAGAGGGTTGTAATAGTATTTTTTCAGTTTCAGCCGTAACTGATTGTGACTTAGTTTTAAGTTTTATTTCTTTGACTGTTCTTGGTTTAGACTTCGTTGGTTCAACAGTCCTAGCCAGTTTTTTTCGCGGTTTTGCGTCTTCTTTCTCTTCCAACTTACGTTTTCGTGTTATCTTTACTTGTTTTTCCATTTTTTAAAGCAATTTATGTCTTTATTTTTAATTAAGCTCCTTTGTTTTCAATTTTCATTAAATTCATTGATATTTTCATTAGACCGGCAAAGGGAACAAAAGTCATTTGACATAAGTAAAGTAACAAGTACTATATTTAGTCAAACAAATGAAAAGACTGAAGCTTTTGGTTTTAGGAAAAGTGACTTAGAAATAAAATAATCACTATAACAGTTTTTTTTACTGGCGAGAAAAGCAGTATGCACAACCATAAAACATGGTGAAGAAGGCAGTGCAACATTAGTCAAGTAGCTGGAATCAATAAATGCTAAAACAGGTCCCTTTAGCATTTATTGATTCCAGCTACCTGACTCCTTGATCGTCCCACCCCCTCCTTTAAATCCAAAAAACTCTTTAAAAATGGGTTAACACTATTCTTATTGTTTGTGCTAGTCTGAATAAAATTGTATAGGCACATGAGAAACTCAGTAGGCTGATGTATGGTTTAGGTTGCATGTCGAACTCTTTGGCGAGTTGGATGAATACGGTTAGCAAGGTCCCTAAGCCTGCTCTTAGTGCTGCAGGAGTTTAATAACAGAGTTACTGGATCAGGTGGATCTAGATTTTTTCTCAACTGGTCTCCCATAAGAGACCGCTTTCCTTTTATTTTTGTCCTCCATACTCTTTCATAGACAATAACATACAATATTCTTTATTAACTTAGTAACTTCAACAGAGCGAGGTGAGGACTGCCAGCATGACCTGGAATGATGTCAAGAAGCAAGCGCAAGACGCACATCATTATTTACAATAAGTGTCGCGTCAGCATATGTATAACTAATATAGTTATGCCGCAATAAGTGTTCTTTTATTTTTCAAAAAAAAACAACATCAATTATTGTATACAGGGAAGCTCTGACTCGATAAACTCAATATTTGTTGTTTTGTTTAAATTACTTTTTTACAAAAATGAAAATTAAAAAAATTAAATACTTATTAAAAATTATTATGTGGTTTATGTATATGTATATAGTTTATCTGTGTGTATTATAATTTTTTATTTTGAATTTTTTATTAAATTCTCGTGCGAAGCCAGAGCGTGCCGCTAATAGTAGTAGTAATAATTAGTATTAATTAGTATATTAATCTGTAGTAATATAATAATCTGTGGACTTAATTCCTACCATAGATAATACAACTTATTTTTACTTTCCGCTCTCTAATATATTATGTGTATATTCTATGATGCTTTCCGCTGTTTTGCATCGGTATTGTGGTTATGTCGGTTTATGTTTTGAATGGTATTAATAAACGGTGTAGGTACATACAATCCAAAACTTGTTAGAATAAAATATCTATCATGAGTAATTTAGAGAACACAATATTGGTAGACCTAGCTCGAAAGCTTTTTAGAGGTTGTACAAATTTTCATATTGAGGTAAACGACAAATGAAACCCATAAAAAGCCTAGAAATCTTAAATTGATATAAATACTTATGAAATAATGATATTTCAGCCCGATTCTGTGAAACTAATGACGTGGTCGTGGCAGGAACTGTTTGTGGATTTAACATTGAGAAGTCCTGTTATTAGAAAGTATCCTATCAGCACAGAATTATCTAGGATATTCCTTAAAAAGCTAATAAATTGTATAGAACCTGTGCAGGAGGTTCACGATAATCTATATGCTGAATTGTGTCGAGCAATGAATAACAGTGCTATAGAAGACTATTGTTACCGGCACTATGTTATCAGCAATGATCTTAATAATATTATAACCATGAAAGAAACCAAGAATATGGTTGTTAATGGTACCACAGGAATGCGCACCTGGGAGGTAATTCTCAAAATTGTTTTAATTCTAACTTTGGGTTGAACGATTTAAACCACCAAAATGAGATATCATCCTTTATAATTACCCCATATAACATCATAATCCCAATCTCGCTTACATCTACCTAATATATGTGTGATAGAGCATAGGGCAAGCCCACATGTATAAGTAGAGCCAATTTCTGCCGTAAGGAAATATATTTTTAAGTGTAAGACAGAGCACTACTTTAATCTTGTATCAAGGTTTGTAACTGAATTGATACTGGTGTCTATGTATTCTGGTTTTTCAGGTGAAATAAGCTAAAATATGTAGAGTGAAATTCATCATCAGTACAGTTTTTTTAATTTTTTTTATTGCTTAGATGGGTGGACGAGCTCACAGCCCATCTGGTGTTAAGTGGTTACTGGAGCCCATAGACATCTACAATGTAAATGCGCTACCCACCTTGAGATATAAGTTCTAAGGGCTCAGTATAGATACAACGGCTACCCCACCCTTCAAACCGAAACGCATAACTGCTTCACGGCAGAAATAGGCGGGATGGTGGTACCTACCCGTGCGGACTCACAAGAGGTCCTACCACCAGTGAAATTACACAGTGACATTATTTTATTTTACTTTTTTAATTTCCTGTGTATGCAGTCGGCCGAGCATATGGCCCATCTCATGGTGAGTGGTTACTGTCGCTCATGGATGTGTGCAATGCTAGGGGCAGAGCCAAGCCGCTGTCTACTGTTTAATATTCTCCACAAGCCTTATTTGAAGAAGGATATGTCATAGCACTTGGGAAACACTGTGGAGGGAGCTCGTTCTAAAGCCGTACATGGCAAAAAGATCTTGCCATACATGTGCAGGAATTTAATTTCAAATAAAGAAAATAAAAAGATTGGCACACAAAGCTTTTTTTACTCAGGCAAACCAGCAACTAGAAATGATTGCTATCAGGGAAGTGTTTTACAAGTACTTTAAAATCATTTTGTACTCAGACAAATGCAAAACATATAACAACATTTCACTAATTATTTATTTTTTACATTTAATACCGTCTAACGGGGTTAATAGGAATCGAGGGGTGAATGGGGATAAAATTGGGATTGAAATGTTCGTATTAATAACTATGAAAATCTACTAGCCATAGCCTATAAAATGGGAAAAATGTATAGAAGAATAGTTATTTGTTGAACCGGCAACACTTATTTGACATGAAACTAAAAATAAATTGTCAAAACATCATTCTGAAATTGCCTGTTTGAAAGTACCGTTGGAGCTCATCATTTTACCGATCGATTTAAACTATGTTTTTGTGATTTTTGTATTGAAACAACTATATCAGCGAGGAGGTTATTTATTCTGGAGTCTGGATATCATAATTTAATTAGAATTGAAAGGCTTTTTAAGTCATAAAATTACATTTTATTAAGACTCATATTTTTTTAACATACTAAGAGGTTTTTCGGTACGTCTCGGGGGTCCTTAGGTACGACTGAGGGGTAAATTGGGATGAGGTATTTAATAAAGAGGGACGACGCAGTACGTCAAGAGACAGTAAAGGGACTATAGGGACAGGGTTGTCACTTTATGTATGAAGTACCTAATTACCTATTGGTGATGTAATTATGAACATTTCGAATTTATAGTCCCAGACGCAAATAGTAGTGTGTTATAATTTTACAGCTTTTGGCTATTTATTCGTGTTTATGTAGGCATTGTAGCTCCCAAGTAGATGAATCGATTTCGATACTTTACCATCGGCCGTTTTGAAGATCGATCGCAGCTTTTTTTTCGTAATGGATGAAAGGATTTAATAATGTGTCGGGAGATTTTTAAAATTACGTTTATCTATTTTATTTTATGAAGATTATTTTCTTTCAGATTCCTAACTTCCAATAATACCGCGAACATAAAAACCAAACCGAGAAAAAAATTATGAAAGATATGATGAGCTAGTCATAGAACAGGCACTAAATGAGTACAACAGTACTTATCAATCGTTAATAGATATTGCACAAAAATATAAAATCTCCAAATCAGTCCTTCATAATTGTGACAGCCCTAGCAGTTTTTCCCTATAATTCCAATTATCGTACCTAATAGCCCCATTTCGTGTTCAAATAGGGAAGGCCTATAATTTGAAAAAATTTTTAAAACTGGATGCTTTACATGGTTCCGTGTAAAGTCCTTAAGAATCTTCAGGATGCGACTCAAATATTGATACCAATATCAATATAATATTTTCAGCCATTACTAGTGATAAATGAACTCCAAAGTTCAATTCCGTATCCATTCACCCCGTTTGACTGTACATTCAGACATGTATATATATATCATGAAGCAGTGTAAATTACTTGTTCAAAAAATCAAACTGAGCTGAGTTGATCAATATGTAAAAAGGGATCTTGGCTGTGCCCCTGGCATTGCTGTCCTCCATGAGCGATGGTAACCATCTACCATCAGGTGGGCCATATACTACCTACCTGCCTACAAAATAAAAAGTAAGAAAGATTGAGTAAATATATGTGTATACATATACAGTCGTGGTCAGCTAATTAGGGACATTCAAGATAGTGAAGGGCTATAACCGGCTATGTACATTTAAATATAAAACCCTATTGATTTCTCAGCACCTATTATTTGCATAATGTGGTCCGATTATTATGCTATAAATGGCTGTAAATAAAAGATTTAATAAATAGAAAAAGTATTTAATATCAAAGATTAAACATGTATTAAATATTAAGGTACAATTTTGTAGTGGACATTTAATTAAGGACAGTAAAGTATAATGAAAAATACAGTTACACAAAACTTATAATCTTCAGTGTTATAATATCTTTAACAGCTCCATTTTATTACGTGTAAAATCAGTACCCAGTAGCAAAACCTTTGTTAGTAATTACCGCTTGACACCGATGTGGCATAGACATTATCAGTTTCTGACATGTTTCGACAGGAATGTTGGCCCATGCCTCACAAAAAGCTTCATGAAGTTCTTCCAAATTTGTATTACGATAAGTGGCAATTTTTTTCTTGATTCCGTGCCAAAGGTGCTCAATTGGGTTGAGGTCCGGGCTATTTGCTGGCCAATCTAGCACCGATACAGACTGACTGGTAAGAAACGACTTGACTGAATGGGCGGTATGTTTCGGGTCGTTATCCTGCTGAAACGTCCATATAATAGGGAGATGCTCCTTAGCATAGGGAAGCATAGTTTCTTCCAATATTGCCTTGTATTGATGTTGGTCTAAGTTACCCTGAACTTTCCTCACAGGTCCCACTCCACGTCCAGAAAATGAATCCCATATTTTAATGTTTCCACCGCCATGTTTCACCTGTTTTTTTGTGAATCTTGGATTCATTTCCGCTTTTACAGGACGCCGTACATATTGCCTTCCATCTGGAAATCAAATTAACCTTTTTGTTTTGGACAGATTTAAAGCTGTGTTATAGCGCTTGAAATGTTGCACTGCATTGCATACCATAGTTTTTGAACAATTTAAATGTTGTGCTATTCTTCGGTATGACCAACCACGCTCGATAAACTTCATGATAATTTTTCGTAGTGTTGGATCGCAACTTTTATTTTTGCCCATTTTCTTCAAAATAATTCTCAAAACTTAAAATAAAAAATCTGGATTGCCGCCAAAACAACCACTAAACAATATGAAAAGAAACAAAAAAGTATTAAAATTCCAATTTTGAAATTAGAACGCAATACCTCAGTGTCCCTAATTAAATGGCCAGCCAGCATTCTTTGAACCAATAGCACTATGATATTGTATCAGCTATACTGTAAAGAGGTTTAATGTTTAAGAAGTTGTTATTGTTTGTTTAATCGCGCACATAAATGACTAATTACACTTACATGTAAGAGATATGGAATATTGCTAAGACTCGTTGGAAATAAAAAAAAAATTCACAATTTGGCATAACTAGAGATTGTCCCTAATTAGTTGACCACGACTGTATATATGTATACACATGTTGCTATACTTACTATTTACTATTTTAGGCTGCACTAATGCTTTCTGATTGGATTCTATGTAACAAAGAGCTGTTTTCATCAAAAGACGTCCTAGAATTGGGATCAGGTATAGGATTCACTGGTATCACATTAGCAAAATTTTGTGAACCTAAATCAGTAACAATGACTGATTGTCATGAAGATGTTCTACAAGTACTGTGTGAAAATGTGGATATAAATTTTCCATCACATTGTAAAAACAGAAGCTCTGATGGCACAACATATGAATTAGACAATGTTAGTAGAGTTGGTAAGACATGACAAAAAGTTATTTTTTTTTTATTAAAGTATAAAAATTAGTAATTCACAAGAGTATTACTCACTACATCTATACATATAAATAAAATTGGAGTGTCTGTTTGTAATATTGAAATAACTGCTTTTTACTGCATGCATATGAATATATATACGGTATATAGTATTTTTTACAATTTTTGTCTGTCTGTCTTTCTGTCTGTCTGTCTGTTTGTTCCGGCTAATCTCTGGAACGGCTGGACCGATTTTGACGGGACTTTCACTGACAGGTAGCTGATGATTTAAGGAGTAACTTTGGCAACTTTTTTTTAGACTAGCTTCGTCCCCCGGCGTCACCCGCGGTACGACAATAACCACGGGTAACATCGCGGGACTCAACTATAAATAATAAAATTTAATGTTTCCGAAGCGAAGCGAGTGCGGGTCGCTAGTAATAAATAAAATACTTTTGTTTACTCATACAATTTTGGAATTCCTGAACAAGTTCACCTTAATGCAGTACTTTGACTATACTATTTATGTTTTGTGTAGGTACATTTGAATATATGCATTGAAATTTTTAGATGTTATGATGTTAGATTGGAATGAAATGACCGATCTACCAAATAAAAGGCCCGATGTAATACTTGGTGCAGATATTGTATATGATCCTTCAATACTGAAGCCACTCTGTAATGTACTGCAAATTTTCTGTGACAGAAAAAATGACGTGAACATTTATATCGCCAGTATTATAAGAAATGAGTTAACCTTTGAAAGTTTTTTACAAGTTTTGGGTATGTTTTCATCTTTTTACCAAAGTAATATATAAGACATATTTAATTTTTTATAATTATCATATTTCTTTATTTTACAGAAACCTATAATTTTCATTGTGAAAAATTAATGCAACCAACAAATGCGCACATTGAGTGGGATCATACTCATATTAACCGATGCTTACTAAAGATCATGAGGAAATAAAATGGGTTTTGACTTTATTTCACTTTCTAATTTTAAGTACCATGACATGGGGTAATTTGGGATCCTGGGGTAAATTGGGACAAACCTGCGGAAGATTCTCAAAGTACCTGTAGCACGGAATCTACCTAACTATAGAAGTACTAAATATGAGTTATTATTGAAATTGAATTATTATAAAATTGAAAATAGTGGTTGAAAAGTGCGTTTTAAAACAGCTTAAAGAACTTTTAAAAAAAGTAATATTATCGTTGTTTTGTCAATAAGATCACAGTTTACATAAGTTTTTAATACACCTGGAAATACCACAACAAACGGTAAGTTGCAATATTCTTATTTTAAATACAATATTTCGACAAAATAAAAAATGTATATTTTTTCCTTTCTTTTTGGGGAAAATTGGGACGTATGTAGGGTAATTTGGAACGAGACTGGAAAAATTAGGGACGAGAAAACACAAAATTGGAACGCCAAAAGACAAAATAGGGATGGCTTGTTAGGGTTGTCACTGATATCTTATAATAGATTTTTTAGCCTATACTATCACTTAATTGCGTGATGTAAAGAAGGTTAATGTGTTTATCAGTTAGTTTATGTAAGTATTATAGGTAAAAGAAAAGTATATATATAATTACTTTTTTTTCGCGACATTTACCTTGTAATATCTGCCCGGTCGTATGTTCTTTATAGCAATAAAAAAAATTAAAAGTTAAAAGAACTCAAACGAATCAAAACTTTTGTTATTTCAGAATCTATTCACGCGTCGAATCATGATTTTGTTAACATTCAAAACGCACACACAAATAAAAACAGGCCTCAGATTTTAAATGTAACATTAATTAAAAATCCGAGATATCCAATTATGAGTGAGTGAATTAATTGAGTTTAGTTATTTAGCTTAGAAAGAATTTCTTTTATTTTTGTTATTATAGGCAGTAATCAGATAAATCTGCTTTTTTATCTTATTCACCTGATATCTTACTCTTGCTCAAAGATTATTTTGAAAATGTTGATTAAATAAAATTGTATTATTGCATTTCCAGTCCTTTTGTTTTCTATTTTTTATTCTATTTTATGATTTTGTTTCAGAGTTGTGATTCTTAAGGAAATTAAATAATAATTTTCTAAAATATAACATGCACATACTTTTTTTTGATCATTGTATTGTTGATTATCATTCACGTCACATCGCTTCGGAATAGAAACCAGCTTAATTTACACTATGTTGTGTATTGTGCTTAAATTATGGATTGTATTCATCATTTCGGTCCATATAAATAATTGTATGGCACCTACCTACCTACCTATATATCGCAGTACTGCGAACTGACAACCCTTACAAATATCCCAATTTAACCCTTACCCGTGTCAATTTACCCCGAATGCGGGGTAAATTGTGATGGCCATTATTTTTCCGATTATTTCTTTAAATTGAATAATTAAAATAATGTAACGGTTTTTATCACCTAGGTACGTTCAAGACTTAACTTATTTCTTTGGTTGAGCAGTGACTATTTAATTGGAACTATTTTAAAATTCAATCTGAAGTTCGATTTTGTCCCTATTTACCCCATTTTACGGTAGGTACCTACTTACCTACCTACTTGTCACTTGATCCTATCATCATCCTAGTTGCTATCATAGATACTGTTTACTTGCCTGTGGGTGTGGGAATGGGAATTTAAAATTTTATCTCGGCTCAGTCACGCTACGATTCGGATAAATCAGGCGTCCTTTATACCGGTCACTCACATTCGCACGAATACGCAAACCCGCAAGTGTAAGACGACATTTGCAAATGATTATGCAAAGTTTTCGCTGCATTCGCGGTTTTCCAAGCTGTGTCGGTTTTTTAATGGACATCAAAGCCCGCGAACCTCGATCATTCGTGTAGTCTCCCACACATTCGTGTGGCCAGTTGCGCCCACGATTGCGAAGGCAAGGGACGTATCGCCATTTTCATAGTTCGTGACATCTACTGTGTAGCGTACCTTCATCATGGATTGGAACAACACCAAGGTGATGGAGATCATTGAACTCCTGCAAAATGAATCGACCATGTGGGACCCTCATAAGAAATCCTATAAAAACGGAATGGCCGTTAATGTCGCATGGGAAAGAATTAAAAACTTTCTATTCAATGTTCTATTGGCGAATTAAAAAAGAAGAGAAATTCGTGAGACATTCGTAAACAAGTGTAGAAGGAAGCGCAAATGGGTAAAATGGGTTCGCAAATTGAGTACCGAACCCATTTGCACAGCCGCTAAGTTTGCGAATGAATGTTTGACGGCCCTTGACATGCGCGCGAACATTCGTACAATGTACGAATATTTTCGCGCATGTGAGTGGCCAGCATTAGACCACGATGACTTTTTAGGTAAAGTCGTATTTGCCTACCTATTCGTTGGTAGGTAAAGTTATCAGTCAAAACATATTTCAAAAAAGTAAACGGATTTTTATTTGGTTTTGGTATTTCTTAAGAATGTGTCGTAAAGGTCACTTTTATTGTATTTAGTTTAGTTCTACAATCAATTTAATTTTCTTTTATATAGCGGACATTTATTCTTCTATTTACAAAAAATCGTAGGATGGTCTGTGTTACATTTCCATTGCCTGTTTAACGGATGTGTAAAAATATTCAAATTTCAAAACCCAAAAAAATAATTTAAAACATTACAGTACATACATAGGTACATACATACTTGTAGGTATTATACCTATATACCTACTATTACGATACAAAAAATATATTATTTAATGTAAATTTTAAGTTTGTAGAAGAATGTATTGAAATGATAAACGAACTTGTCATTTTATTTCACCATTTTTGAGGTTATAATTAGTTTTTAACATTGACAAAACTACGATAGCGGTTAGGTACTTTTATCAGACCTGTCTTATTCCGATAACCTTTAAAACTACATACTCGGTTTAATTTAAGTCAATGTTGATTAAAAATGTCGGATGGCAGTACTGCTTCTGAAACGAAAACTAACACAGAAAATAATACAAACCAAAAAAATTCTAATGAAAAGAAACCTGATGCATGGGGATACGATTTGTATCCGGAAAGAAAAGGGAGTTTTAAGCCCAAAATAACCAATGTTCTCATTGGAAAAGAAGGAAAAGAGAATATAGAAAAGCTAAAATGTGAACAGAACGTCTTCAAATGTGTGCAAACCAGTAAGCAACTAAATATTTTTTTTATGTTTGGGTATTAAGGAAAAAGTAAACTTAGCAATTTAAGAACTGTTTCGATTGAACGAGATGTGTCCATCAAGAATTTATGAATTTTTCTAACTCAATTCCATAATATAGAGAGCTAAAATAGCCTGAGATATTATTGATCATACATAAATTTAAAACAATAACCACCAAAATCATATTATTTCAGGTCCGATCGTTAAAATAATGATGGCTGCTCTCAAAAGTTCAGGCTGGTAATTATTATTTTAAGTATGTGCGTATTAAACATTAAAATAGATTATTTTTATAAAAAAATACACCAAATATTTGAATAAAATTTTATAGAATTTCGTATAGTCGTAATGTCCTTTCCAATGGTTTGTAGTAGCAAGTGCTGTAACAGTAAATAAATGCCTGAACTCTCTTTAATAACTACTGAGAGTACAATTATACTTGTGTTACAGAAGGTTTAAAGAAAATGTGTACATACTGTACAAATTATAGGGAAAATTAGTCTATGGATCCCGAAATTTGAAGAGTTCTGTGATTTTCAGTAACTTAAAGTACTCTTTTCTGTAGGCAATTTAATAGATAATAGTTGTCCTTGAGAACGTCACTTCTGAGATCAAAACAAAAATAACCTCATAAAAAATCTAAAAAATTACAAAATAATCTATAAATAGTTATAATTACAAATATTATGAAAATATAAAATGAATATTTGTTGGAATGTTATAACAAGTAATATTAGAGATTTAAGATAAAATTATTAATATAGTTAATTGAATCAAACAAACAAACTTTTTAAGTATTAGTAGTAATAATAAACAACTTATTTGTTTTATCTGGCCTTGCATATTGTTAGACTGCTGATGAACTTAATGTGAGATGTTCAGTGCTTTTTTTGCAAGAATGCTGACTCTCGATTATAACCTTAGTATACTGGACTATTTGCTATTTGGGCTGTTTGGATACTGTTGTCAATTCATTTTTCATTAGAAATCATTCTTGCCATGTCCCCCTTCCCTTACATCATTGTTGTTGTAGTTCTAGGGTACCCGCTGGTACATAGGGCCCTCACAATTTGTCTCCACTTGACCCAATCTTGCCCTTGCTCCTTGATATGGTACATGGATATGAATATGTAAACCGGAGCATTCTTAAAGCAGAAGCAGAGTTAATTACACAATTTAGGCGAGTATGGCATGTACTAAAGACTGATAATTTTCGAGAAATAAAACATTACAAAAAAAATAAAAATGAGTCGACTAGTATCAAAGCCGGCAATGTGACTTTTGGACAATTATTGGTAAATCAGAAAAACGAATTATTGACTTTGTATTCCATTGGCAACCACAAAACTCTTCTGAACGTCATCTTAGATAAATAACAGGTTAAGTATTAACCTTTATTTAATGCAGGTTTTGAACCGTATTCTTTGAAGGAGACGATTATATTCAAATCAATCTGTATTGACATATCAATAACATTTTCTTGTTCAAATGCACAGATTGCCACCTTTGATAATAGACGACTCAAATAGTAGTGCATTTTTTCAATGGATAACGAGCTAAAACATTTTAAAGATTGTTAAAATTGAAAAAGATTGTTAAATTGAAATTTCACAATCATTCGCTGGAATGATTCAATCTTACCTTAAATATATATGGAATTGTTTTTGTTTAGCTGTATTGCTATTGGTGGATTGCTATTAACAATTTAAATTGTATATATTTTAACTTTCAGTCCCATTGATATCCGACGTCATATATCCTGTGAAGTGTGTGACTACTCAGTCAGTGGTGGTTATGATCCAGAATTGAATCAGGTAAGAAGTAGTGTTTTGTTTGTCTTTCAATGTGGAATTATTGTTTAAAGAATGTTTAATTGTGGAAAGGAAACTTTGACCATAGATAAACGGTTACTAATTGTAGTTGTCATTTGGTATGATAATTTCCATCATCTGTAAAAGATGATATACGTAATCAAGATTTAAATAGGAGGAAATACTCAATCTTTAAGCGGCATTACGTGTATTGACAATAGGCAGGCTATTTCTAGGCTCTATACTTTTTTTATTTATAAAATGGCTCACAAAGATGTCTAAGAAATCTATTGCTAGCCTTAATGTGTGATAGAGTTTTGTATGAGTTTCAGGTAGTTGTTTTTTAAAATTTTATTAATATTATACACATAATTTTATATCATTAATTTGTAGTAGTATTTTTCATGGTTCAAACTAATCGACACTATTAAGTCCATGTTTATGATAACCAAAATAGATACAAATTATAACTTCTTTATTCATATTCTAATATTCCATTGAAAATTAGGTCACACTTGACTACCACAGTGTCTCCTATAATGCATATTGATAAGTTAATGTTTTACAGATTGTTGTCTGCCAGAATGTATCCACGAGGAAAGGGATGGTACAAGGGGTATTGGCTCATGAAATGATCCACATGTTTGATTTCTGCAGAAACGAATTAGATTTTAAGAACATGGAACATTTGGCTTGCACAGAGATCCGGGCAGCTAATCTCACTCATTGCTCCTTTGCGAGTGCTTGGTCTCAGGGAGATGCATCATGGACTAAGATAAAGAAGGCGCATGAGGTAACTTTCCAAACTGTTGTTTCAAAACAAACAAAACTTACCAGAGTACTTACAAAATACGTTTTTATGGCTACTACTACAATTACTTCTTCACAGATTGCCCGTAGTACAAGATAACCTGTACCCAATTTTCTACCTTTTTTTTTTTATTTATTGCTTAGATGGGTGGACGAGCTCACTGCCCACCTGGTGTTAAGTGGTTACTGGAGCCCATAGACATCCACAACGTAAATGCGCCACCCACCTTGAGATATAAGTTCTAAGGTCTCAAGTATAGTTACAACGGCTGCCCCACCCTTCAAACAGAAACGCATTACTGTTTCACGGCAGAAATAGGCAGGGTGGTGATACCCACCCGCGCGGACTCCTTTTTTTTATGCCTACCTACAGAAACTTTGCTAACACTAGCTCTAGCAAAGGCAGTGCTTCCCTGACTCTACGACTAGATCGGATTCGTGACCCACTGAGGAGATCTGGCGACAAAGTCAGTTCTCTGTGAGTTAATTTTCACGACGAACCCATCGTCGCATTCGACGAGAATGCTGATTGGTGAACGGCTCGACAGGAAGAATCGTATGATGAACACGAGACTGACACGCCCATGTTTGTAAATCAAACCGTGGTGCCATAAATTGTCGAACGCCTTCGCCATATCTAAGAGGAGACCTCCCGTGGGGACGGGTCTGCGTTTTTTAGGCCCTACAAAGATGTTCTTTGTGAGGCGGTTAGACGCACGATTGTTTAACGCGAAATGTAAACTGCTCGTCGACTAGTATGCTTTTTAAGATGACAAAGTCCCAGAGGCGTTTATGGAGTCGTTCTGCTGTGAAGCAGTAATGCGTTTCGATTTGAAGGTTGGGGCAGCCGTTGTAACTATATTAAGACCTTAGAATTCTTATCTCAAGGTGGGTGGCGGCATTGACGTTGTAAATGTGTATGGGCTCCGGTAACCGCTTAACACCAGGTGGGCTGTGAGCTCGTCCACCGATGTATACTTAAAAAAAAACTGCCTATGACTGGAGGGAGGCTGATCGGACGATTTTTTACTCAAATCTTAAATTGTTTATAATATAGTAAGACGTATTATCATTTTACATACGTTGATGGATGGATGATAGAAGATGGAAACTGTGGGTCGATTGTGCATAATTACAGCTAAGTTACTGGTTGTATATTTTGGTTACTGGTTGCTTATTTTGAGCTCGCACGGAATACTACAACCGTCAAATATTTATTTAGATCACAACGTAGCATTATACAGTAAAATTCAAATTTCGATCTCATATCTCAAGATGGATAGCGATATTCATATTTTGACTTCTATCGTCTCCGGTAACCACTAGCTGTGACTTTGCCCCAGACAAAGCAATAACAATGTAAAATAAAGATTGTTTATAATATGGTGTTTTAAGTACGCTTGTTTTGTTACAGGATTGTGTGAAGACTAAAGCGCTTTATTCTGTATTGGCTGTACGACAGATAGATAAATTGGAAGCCGTGGACATTATCGAAAAAGTATTTCCTAAGTGCTACCAAGACTTGGAGCCGATCGGCAGGAGGATACGAAGGAATTCCGATGACATGTTTCGAGCTTTCAGAGAAGCCAAATACTATGGATATGATGATTAGTAAATGTGTGTACCGTAAAATTCAACCCGATTTTCATTTTTATTTTTTATTTTTTTGTGTTCAATTCTCATCTCTATTAGAAAAATGCTTAGATACATCCAGACATGTTCATTAAGTTAATAAAAAAATACGCTTTAGGATTGACTGTGTAGATAGTGTAAATAGATTTAATGTAAATAAAACCAGTTTGTAGTTTAAAATAATGTCTTTTATTTCATCATTACTTTATTTACATTTAAAAATATGTAAGGTAGATTTATTTTTCTTTGAAAATCAATACTAGTTGCCATAGAGAAAATGTACCATCAGCCTAAACGCGTCAAAAAGTTACATTAAATTTTTTTTAATTAAATTAAAAAACAGTCGACGAAGTTAATATTCAGAATCGAAAAAAAAGAAAAGATTTTCAAATGGTTTGTGCATTTACTCTTAATAATTAACAGTAGGCTATGCAATTAGCTGACAATTAAGGTATGATACAAAATATGTTTTCATCAGTACGATAACTCCAAAGAATTCTAAACGAATTTGGCGGTTATAATTCAGACAAGCGTCTGTTTTGACGCGTTTAAACTTTTTCAGCGTAATTATTGAAAGCGATCCTTGATCCTGTTTTATATCCAACGATTTTAAGACAGGCACAATTGTTTCAGTGTTGCCAACATATCAACTAAAAAAAAAAACAAAAATGAAAAATAAATGTTGATATTAGAATACTAGAACTAATTAAAAATAAAATAAACTAACATGAAAATTTAAAATAATGTGTTTGCAATCTATGACTGCAAACTTTTTGTGTAGGTATTAGATTGTTGTGCTATAGCGGTATCCACCGTTAGAATGTTGTTAGTAGGTACACATAACTTACGTCTAATAAGATCAAAACTGTCTATGACTAGGTCAGATAACAATATTAAAAATATACATTGAAATTATTGTGAAAGTGAACAATTATTATGTGTTTTGCAAAATAAGGCACAGCTTGTGAGTAATCCTCGAAGCCTAGTAAACCAGGTACCCATTGAGACTTAGACACGACAGACGCTTCAACCTTCTTCAGCAGTCTTATTCCTTACATCTGAGGGTTTGGAGCGCCATCTTCCACGACCTGTGTGCTTAGTGCGAGTTTTTTCACGTTCTCGATAGCGTAAAAGTTAACTCAAATTTGTATGCAGTTGGAAAAACGCCCCTAGGCGGCAAACATAGCCAAACGTACCAACTTCATACAAATTTGAGTTAACTTGTACGCTGTGAGAACGTTAACATACTCGCACTAAGCACATTGCTTCACTAAACATCTGCTAGCAGTAGCAATATATCGTTATTTGTTATTTAATCCACCCACTAATTCCTACATTATTTTAACCACCTTTCTGATATTTAAAGACATTTTCTGCCCATTACCCGGACAAGGACAAGATAAAGTTTGTTGATACTATTCTTAATCGTAATTCCAAATAAATTGCGACACAACTTTAGTTTACCAGTTAGTAATAACTGGTGCGTCAAAATAATGTATAAATGAAACTAAATGACCATGCGTTCCGGCTTTTCAGATGGTAACTGAAATGTCCACTCATTATCCAAGCGTGTGGTGTTCATGCAATGATGTCAAATCTTACGATTCTCATTACTTACAAGAACCTAAACTGAATAAATTAGGTTTTCAGTAAATTTTTGGATCAAAAAATAATGTTACGAAATAAGTTAAACACAGAAATTATTTTAATAAATTAAACTGGTAACATTCTTAAGATTTTAATAAAATATCTAAAACGATAACTAACGATAATTAATTATAATTGTATTGTAACTAACAAAATGTTTTTTTTTTGGTTGCATGTTTTTTTTACAAAATAATAGACATTCTTGGCAGTATGCTTATTCCTAAGTTCTTATAACTAAAAGTTTGCACGCACTGCGGCTAAACGCGAGTCGACTTTCATAGCAAGATTTTATGATTTGAAGAAGTTATTACGCAGACGCACAGGTAGGTTTTCGCGCAGTTTATCATTCAAACATATACCTTTTTACCTATAGACACCACCCATTGAGTTTCACGACGGATCTTCTCAATGGGTTGCGATTCCGATCCGGTGATAGATTCTGCCAAGCACTGCACTTGCTAGGGCTAGTATTAGCAGAATTTCTCAGGTTGAGCCCGTGATTTTAGTTACCCGTCGGCGCGAAGCTGGAATAACCTCTTAGGCTACCAGCGAAGAGCCAGGGGAAAAACACATTTTTCTCGGTGAAATTTGTGCGAAATATCGGTAGAGCTTAGTTAATGCGTGAGATTTTTAAAACTGCAATATCGTACATACCGGGTTCAGAATGTTTGTATAAATAAAATTTATATTCAACGATTTATCGCATCGTCGTGCCGCTCCCATCACGACATTGATTAAGATCCGATCCGAGTGATCAAAGTTTAAGGATTATCATAAAATAATTTTAGAAGTAAAAAAGGTCTATTCATTAATAACCATGTAAAACATTAGTCCTTTTTATCTTAATTATAAGGCACTGTTGAAGTGACGCAAAGAACCGTAGTGCGTGCTCATACTAAGTAGTAAGTAAAAACTTTTTCTAAGGTGCTATATGAAAAATCTAGTTTACCAGCTTATATTACTTTCATTGTATTAAAAGTTCGTTAATTGACCTCATCTTAAAACATAATGCCTCATGTTTTATCTCTATTTGAGAGCTCTATTTGCGGAAAGCTGGATAATTTTGGTACATTCCTGAACGCATGTAACTCTGATAACAGAGATGACATTCTTAGTTATTGTCCTTAAATCATGCGTTACCGTAAATTAAATTTGACAAAATTAACATAAGAAACATCAACCATTTCTCTTCGGTTTTTTTTAATAATAAGAAGCATTTTTAAATACCGAAACATCGAACAGTTCCATTATCCTGCAATACGTGGGCATTGTTAATTCAAAGTAGACACGGATCTCTGTTTTAAGAATAAGGTCAATGAAGTTCATTAGGATTACGTACGTGTTCAGCGATTATACGAATAACATTAATAAGGCTTTCCGTTACTTGAATTAATTCAAAGAGTCGATCGGAATATGGGGTGCCAGGGAATCGTTTCCGAGACCAATGTAATAAGCATACAACATCTTATATTCAACATAACATTCGACTGAGCAAGTAAATAATTCGCGAATCCGTAACCCGCGCACTTAGTGGGCGCAACACCCTAACAACACACGAGGCTGTTGACCCCGCGCGTCATTGTTATACATTGCGCGCAAATGATTAGTAAAATTCAAGGACTCGTTTATAATTTTTTAAAATGAAATATGATTAGAATCACTTGTTTTTGGAAACGTTTCCCTTACACCCGGGAGAAGGCAATATTTACTACAACAACATGTATCTATATTTTAAAAAAAAAAATCGAATAATCAAGGCACCTGTTCCTAAAAAGGCTTATTGCTTAGAATATTTTGTACTGAGCTCACATGTGGTCCCTATATTGCCATCTTACGTCTATTATATGTCGGGGCTTTGTATAATCGATGAGCATTGTATAACAACTATAATTAAATACAATTAAGTACATATTATCACCAAAGCGAATATCCATAATCACTGTACAAACGATTATATTTACATAATATGGTTTATCGTCGTAATACGTGAATATTGATTAACTTATAAGACGTATTAGGATGTTTGTAAACTTTATAACAACATTGTCTCGTCAACTGTGATACGGCACGATTTTATTAATCTCGTGTCCGCCGAAGCGCTCAACTTAAGTACGTGGTCCAGTAAATTACATTGAAGAGCAGAAAACACATGGGGAAGATCATGAGAGCGTATTTATCGAGCGCCCCGTGCTGGGCTCCGCAGAACATGACCCCGTTGTCGATGATCCCTCTCATTCTGGTCACGAAGCCAGTGGCTCGTCCCCCCGGCGGTATCGACTCCAGGATCGGTGAATCCTAAGAATGTTTGCAAAATAAAACAGTTAAATGAACGCGTTTTACTGACCAATAAATGATCCCTAAAAAAAACGGCTACAGAGTGTGCTCGCGTTAACTTAGAGCAGCTATGCCAGCATTTCTGCTGTTTTTTTTTTATATGCTAAGCGGTGTTTCTAGTTTGACCTATATCTTACAGTACGTGTAGCTTTTAAAAAAAAAAAAATTACCTCCTATTGGCTCTGGGGATACTGCTGCTTTATAATTCAAAGTTTTTACTAAATAGAAAACCGACTTCAACGGAACAAAATAAATTGAGAATATCAACAATGTAGTCGAAAGTCAATTAAATATGAATGATTAAAAACTACTGGTCATTATTTGATAAAAGTTAAGGAGGAACACGAATGAGAAGCACCAGCTTTAAAAAAAAATCAGCCAGAACCAAGTTTTGAGGTAACTAACACACATAAAAAATCGAACAGAGAACCTCTTTTTTGGAAGTCGGTTAAAAATAGCACTAAACATCACTAAATATTATATATTATTTTTTACTCTAATTTTAATATTAAAAATTACTCTATCGTAATGCACTAACAAGTACTGTGGACAACAATATTACCGCTAATTTCTAAACATCAAACGCCAATTGATATAGATACAATTATGGTAGACGTAATTGTCTATATTCGCAGTGTCCGAAATACATTACTGTGTTCAATTTAGCCACACGGTGCTGTGTTTTTTTTTAGTTTTTTTTTACCTTGCTAACTGATCTTGTTTCACATCCGACTTTATTTTGCCTCCAATGCCTTTTTCCCGAGTGGGATAACTAAAAATCGTTTGCCTAATTTAAAAAAAAAATTAATGCACCTAGACAATACGTGTTTTAATTATCTAGAATCTAGATCCTAGATGGATATATATTATATGTATAAGGACATGCAGTGTAAGACTACACTGGTCAAATTTAGCTATGTATTAAACTAGGAGGAAAGTTAGTGTATTTACCCTTTGAATTGCTTGGTGTTCAAACTGTTGCTTGAGACCTTCATCTTCAACGCTCAAAGTGGGTGAGAACATCCCTCCCTGGGGCGTTCCAGTCACGGGAGTGCTTAGTCTCTGAAATGATCCAACAATACAACTATGCACAGTGAAATGGGCAAAAATAGTAAGTATTTTTTTATTGCTTAGTCGAGCTCACGGCCCACCTCATGTTCAGTGGTTGCCGGAGATCATAGAAACCAACGTAAATGCCGCCACCCACCTCGAGACATGAGTTCTAAGTTCTCATTTTCTACAGTACAACGGTTGCTCCACCCTTCAAACCGAAACGCATTACTGCTTCACAGCAGAAATACGCAAGGTGGTGGTACATTCCTTATCCATAGTCTTCCAAAATTTCGAATCAGATTTATTTTAAGCCTTATCTTGGGGAAATGTTACGCGCTGGGGTTCGGGATAAATAAAAATTTTGCCGAAGTACAAATTAAAACTGTATTGGCACTTAGAACACTTAATAAATACTTTAAAATTCTCAATTCACTTTTTCCGTTTCGCTTCAGGTGATCCGTTCGCTGTTTCGCTTCGTGTAGAATCGCTTATTAAGTGCGTTCGCCATCTCTGCAACGCTTTTATCGTCAATACGACATCCCTAGATTTATCGAGTACATTCTGGGCAAGTCGAGTAGCTTCGATGTGTGTTTCCGTTATAACAATAGATGGCGTTGTACTTATCGAGCATTCTCAACGTTACTAGTTCCTTTGAAATTCGTTTCTGCTATTCGGCGATAGATGGCGTTACTCTTACCGGCGTAACAGTAAAAATGGTTTGTACCCCACCTGCAAATGGTTGATGTGTAGCGGCGGCGGTCCCAGTTGGGCTGCAGAGGCCGCTCTGCGCAGGTCCTGCCGTCGGCGGCTCCAGCTTTTGTCGTACCGGATGCCAAAGAGCACCACGAAATACTCTAGTAATGCCAGGAATACGAATATCGTGCACGATATAAGCCACACCTCGATGCATTTCAGTTCCAATGCGTCAGGTGAGTTCGTACTGGAAATTGAGGATGGCCTTAACAAATTATAACAAACAAAACAAATTAGGGGAGTCGACAAGATTACGATGTCATGTACCAAGGTACTATTGTACTGTCGTAGTAGTTTGAAACAAACGTGGCAGTTTCGACTGATTTAAGTTTCGGAAACTAGGCAGCAGCTAGGCTGTATCCTTGGCATTGCTTGATAAGCGACAATAACCACTCTCCATCAGGTGGCTAGGTACAAGGACAATAAAAAAAATAGTAACTTAACTGGTTACTATTTTTTAAATAGGTACCGTAAATTTCCTTTTTATAATCTAGAATATTTTCTGATTATCATTCGGTATAGGGTTATTTCAACTGCATCCATCGTTCTACTGAAGAAATTACGCATCTAAATAAATAGATAAATAATACGACGTTTCCTTTACATTACGTCTATTTTAATGAATGAAAGTCAAATTAGAATAAGTATTCCTAATATAATTTATTGATTTACGGACAAATAAAATTTAAGAGAGTAAAGTATTTTAATTCGAATTATTAACCATGCTTCTTTTACCTGACAGTATCAAACATGGTGACTAAAGACAAAAGTGTCGTAACCAGAAGCACCATTCGTCCAGGGACGATTTCTGGTATGACGCAGAAGCTGCCCCAGGATATGATGACGAACAGCGAGGACGGCAGGTAGCTCTCCAACAGGTAGCTCCTGAGTTCTCGTGATAGTATTATCTGCATTCGCGCCGCGGAATGTTCGCCTAGAAACATGCCTAAATGAACAAATCTAACTACATTTCAGTTTAAACGTAACATCTTCCTTCACAGAGTTTTGTGTAACGAATAATTAAGCCGCGCCAATAAAGAAACGAATCGAAAATGGCGTCTATGTACCTGCACTGACAGATGGTAGGGTCAACAAATAAAAAGAAAGACAGAAAGAAAACGTTGTTTATTGTAAAAAAATATAAAAATACAAATGAGAATGTACTTTACTTTATGCCCCGGCAGAGGGGGAGGTGTCTCATCTGGGATACAACTTGCGTAGACACTTTTGCTGCCAGTCATCTAAGTCGCACAACTCGAAAGTGAAAAAACTCGAACTCAACAACAAAGTCAGAGCTGATAAATTTTTTTGCATGCAGTACGCGCCGTGTGCGACTAAAGACAACAATAGTTTAGAGTGAGAGCGCATGATCACTGCCGCCATTTTAGATTCGTTTCTTTATTGGCGCGGCTTATATAATACATTCCTACAGCACAAAGCAAACGTTCACAACAACACCAAAACATAATAAACAAAAACAAATGCAGACACGATAGCAATAGGTACAGACACAGAGCATTTCAGATATTTCCGATCAAGGAATATCGTGCAAGGCACGGATGTCAAAATAAACGGGCACCGTTTCAATCAAAAAACAGTAGGTAAATAAATTGTCCGCAAAATAACTAAAGTAGTAATGGAATAAGTACATCCGCGCCCCGCACTGCGGGCGGCATGCCAGCATATAGCAACACGACTGCTTTAATGGGTACATTGTTAAAATACAAGGCGCAAACATAAGCGCAAAGCAATAAATATACATTTACCTTCACCAAATATGTGAATATGATTACTTTTGGCCGTGACGAAAGTGACTACGTATTTTGGGAGGCGGAACTCGCTCCGCTCGTTGCCGACTGGACCTAGACCTAGCCACCGGGCCACCTCTCTCCACTCGAACCGAACATCCTCAGTTGTGTACTTGTCTGCCAAAAAACAGAAGAGAATAAAAACTTAAATCTAGTTAAAATTACTATACTACGGCTTAATCTCACGTTTTTAATTGTATTGTAATACTCGTATTATATTATTTCCGAAGTTTCGTATACTTAACAGTTTTCGCATATATTAAGTGTATACTCTATGGTTTTCGCGGTGACGGACGATGTCACGTGACGTATAATGACAATGATAGATGCAGGTGAATGAAGTTAGCCCCTAAAAAAATTTTTTTTTCTATTTTATACTTATTTTCTATTAATTCGTTTGTTCATCATTTGTTCATGATTGTTCACTGTTAATAATTGTTTGTTCTGCATTTATTTATTTAAAAAATATATTTAAAAATATACCTACAAGTTAGCCCCTCTAATGCAATTTTTATTATTTTTTCATCCTTAATGACTCGTAAATATTCATTTTCGATTGTTCTTATATAAAACATGTTTGTTCTCTTTCGAAATTACTCGTTTTTTGTTTAATTTACTATTTTTATTAGTTGAATAAATGTATGCAAAATATGTGTACTGCGCATGCGTCAACTATAATGCCTAAACTTTCTACGCGGTTTTAATCGTGAAAAAAAAAACAAATATAAATCCTGAAGGAGCAATTAATTGGTATACAGTTTAATTAAAAAAATTAAAAAATAAATAAATGAAGTAATGTGCATTGGCGTTAAGTTAGACCAAATACATTTTTTCCATCCTCTTACTTATCGTTATATATGTTCATTATTTATCTTTCAAGAGATAATATATGCGGCATCTCGAATATATTAAGTGTATAATCTATGTGCGGCATTAAACCGTAAAAAAATAATAGTTTAAAAAAACTAAAAAAATACGCCTTTATAGAAAATCCCACTAAAAAATAGAAAATAAATCTTAATAAATTTGAATTAAAAATAGTGTAAGAAAAAAGATTTTATTGCAAAAAAAAGCTAATATTTTTCATTTTTTAGTTGAATTTTCTATAAAAGCGTATTTTTTAGTTTTTTAAACTATTATTATTTTTTTAGTTAAATTTAAATTTTTTTTAAATATTGAATTGTCATCGGTCCTTAATAAGTAAGTAGCAATAAGTAAGTAAGTAGCAAATCGGAACAATTTTTGATTGCTTAATAAAATTTTCCACAGAGTTTTTTTTTACAAAATAGATGAATATTATTTATTTAAATTTGGGATAGTAATACAAAGAAACTTTTCGTTTGCGCCATAAAAGTTTGAATTTCTAGCTATTTATTTCTAAACAATGGTGCGCAATAGATATTCAATAGAATAATCATCCCCAGATCTGTCTGTCCACATTATTAATATGATAAAATGATTGCTTGGAATACATTATATAATTTTAGATTTCAAACTACGCTGTTTTGACTGTATTAATACAAATGACCGACGTGGCGTGTAGACAAAACATTCTCTGACGTTGAAACTCAAATAAAATTTGAGTAGGTACCTACATCAAAAGTTTTCGCAATTGTTTTCATTGAGTTATACGTTTCAGCTTTTTAATAACTCTTCAAATCGGTTGAGAATTCTTTAAGACAATGCAAACGAAAACATGCGTGTGTTTTTATAAGTAACTAGCGGCCCGCTCCGGCTCCGCTCGGGTCTTTAACAAAAAATTTTTACTGGTGGCAGGACCTGTTGTGGGTCCGCGCGGGTGGGTATCACCGCCCTGCCTATTTCTGCCGTGAAGCAGTAACGCGTTTCGGTTTGAAGGGTGGGGCAGCCGTTGTAACTATACTTGAGACCTTAGAACTTATATCTCAAGGTGGGTGGCGCATTTACGCTGTGGATGGGGTCTATGGGCTCCAGTAACCACTTAACACCAGGTGGGCTGTGAGCTCGTCCAACCATTTAAGCAATAAAAAAAAAAAAAGAAATTTTCAACGATATTAGACGTTTTATTTTTTTAAATAAAAGAACACTATAATAGTTAGATATATGCTATCGCTTTTTGTAAATAATAATGTGTTCTACAAAGTCGTAGTACATTATTTTATTCTATCATCAATAGTTTTCGCAGGGCACGCGATATAAAGAATATTTTAGGTAATTTTTTTACACCTTGGATTACATTATTGGAGTTTTAGTAAGGATCCCTAATTTTTTTCAAAACACATTATAATATATATCCTATGTTACTCGGGAATAGTGTAGCTTCCAAACAGTTAAAGAATTTTTCAAATCGGTTCAGTAGTTTCGGAGCCCATTCAATACAAACAAACAAATAAATCTTTCCTCTTTATAATATTATTAGTATTAGTATTAGTATAGATATTCGAAATGAGGTCGTTTGCTCGAGCGGTACATATTTATTCTGTTATCTATTTTAATATTTAGAAGCAGATTTAGTTGTGTATTAGACTTACAGCTACCGAAGTCGATGTCACAGTTCTGCACGTCTAACGGATACAGCACGAAGTCCATGTCGCATTTGATTGTTATTGTCGCTCTGTAAGGGATTTTTGTATTTATAAATTTTCTGAATATTCACTGAATACACATCTCTCCCTGTATTCACCAGACAATCCACAGCAGTGCAGGCTCTGTGTATTATATCATCGTGATGCCAACTGACATTTACTTGGGGCAGGTCGTATTGTCAGTCTGCACAGGTCCTGCTTATTTTACCGTGAAGTAGTCTAGTGTTTCAGCTTAAAGTGTGGGATAAATATAATACAATTGAGCCTTCATGACTTATGGTGGGTAGAATTCATATGTTGTTTGGCCTATGGGCTTCGGCAATCACTTACATCGAGATGAATTGTGAGATCATTTACACAGCTGAAAAATATCTTGATTTCCCCAATGTATTCCACGTATGGTATTTTATGGTAGGCAGCTACTTGGCTGTGTCCTTGGCATTCCTGACGTCTGTGAGCGACGGTAACCACTTACCATCAGGTGGTCCATATACTCGGCTGCTGCCTACATAGGCGATGAAAAAAACGTATTTGACTAATTCAGGGAAAATGGTAAGTGGTGTTGGCAATGTTTCATTCGACTTTATGTTTCCATATTTATTCTGTTTGGGGCGCCTAAGGGCTTTAGTATCTACTTAATAGTGGATCGTGATGTTATTTGGCAACAGAATTATGAATTGTTGTTTTACTATTGGAAATATGTCAACACGATTAAGAATTTAAAAACAGAGAAAGAAATTTTTTATTAAAATTAAAAATATTTTGGTGAAGGGCGAATGTGCTTATTTACGTTTATTATCAAAAATAAAGGTTTGTCTATGGTTTATAAATGATATGACGTGTAGCTTTCTTGTTACTTTGCCCAAGCTTGCCCATCATTTATGTTCACTACCAACGTCAGGGGCTATAGCCACAGATCAGCTGTTTAGCGTTAACGATTCTCATAAAAAGAAAAATTCAATGTCAGAGTGCTTGGAAAATGCTTTATTTTAAAGTCTCAGACCGAACTACATTCCCTGCATTGATGATGCGATGTTAAAAAAAGTAGAGATCACATAAAAGATCCTTAGAGCACATTTCAGGGGGTAAAATATAGACAGTCTTTTTGGTAGCGTTAAAAGTAATGTGAGTTGGGATTATTGGCTTATCTCATTGCAGCGTAGCGGCGTAAGATATTTAAAATATAGGTAACATTAATAATTTTAGCTTACGTCAATGTTGTGACTTAGAAAATAACAGTGCACAACTAGGATTTCGCGAAAAGTTAATTTGAAAAAAAAAAAAAAAACGTTTGACTGAAACAATAATTTTTCGTTTTAACACAAAATTTAGTTTTAGCACCGCTTTGTAGGTACGTGCGATCATTTTATATTGTTATGTTTGCACACGAGCAACCATTAAAGACTTGAAATGACCGGCGTCAAGCATTTCCAGATGTTTTAATCAGTTTAACTGTTCAAACTTCTGGAAGGCTTCAATTACTATGGTGAATTATTTTAACGAGATGATTTTACAGAGGCGCTTAGAATGAATAATAACTGAAATGTTTGATGTTCATACATTTGAGAGCGGTAGTGAAGCAGTAAATGAATCTTGTTTACTTAACGGCATCTTTTAAATTAATATTTAATAATTTATTTTTTCGTATTTTATTCATTCGTAGACCGTTTCTGAGGGCGTTCTTGAGGGCTGCCCTGAATACGTCATTACGGATCCTCCCGGTCCATTAACGGGGCTTTTAAGTACCTCAAACACCGGTCACAGTCCTCGTTGAACCCGTCGCTAGCTACGAAAGGCTCGACGAGTAAATTAACCCATAGACACAGCCCACTGAGTTTCTCGCCGGATTTTCTCAGTGGGTCGCGTTTCCGATCCGGTGGTAGATTCTGCGAAGGACTGCTCTTGCTAGTGCCAGTGTTAGCAACACTCCGGCTTGAGCCCTGTGAGCTCACCTACTAGCCCGGTGACGCTGATATGGTCGCTCTAGAGTCTAGACCATCATCTTAGGTAGGAAAAAAAAAGTGAGGGCTTTATATTGTCGCTAATTGATCTTGTGGAAAGGTTTTTGATAAAAATCGTCTATCTACGATATTTAGTGCGCAAATAGTTCGGCCGAGTTTTACTAGTTATAAAGTGAGTTATTTTTATGAAATTCGATCTTGTGTTAAAATAACGCCGTCATGTATAGCATGAAATTTTACGTAGAATTTGAATATTGATTCGGTGTCAGTTTTAATTATGGGATCGAACTAGAAATTCTTAACAATAAAGTTACAAATTGAAATCGACGGACCCAATACTGACTGTGACGGTTCGGTTAGCGTAGAGTCTGAGCGAAGCCATCTCCTGTAGGACGGACAGTATCTTCATGGTCTGTAGCTGCCAGATGTACAGGTCCGGCGTCCAGATGAGCTGCCTGAACTCCCACGGCAGGTCGATGAACGGAACCCGATGCGGCACGTTCAATCGATCTTCCGTCCATGACACTTGCAGAAATACGTCTAGTGTTATCTCCTGAAATAAATTAGGAATGCTTGCTGTTCATTTTGGCTAGTATGAATATAACGAAATAAGAACGCACTGTATTTTAAATTGCTTAAATTTGCGCGTAAAAATTACACAGTTAAATGCAAATTTGAGGGTAGCGAAAAAAAAAGAGCGACTATAATTAGAAAATACAGTTTTTGTTATTAAAAAAGTTAGTATTTTTTTACAATTTTAAATTCCAGATATAATTTTTTATTTTATTTCAAACGTTTTACTAAAGAAATATAATTGTAATAGATATGTTCAAAGCATTCTTTTTTTTATATTGCTTAGATGGGTGGACGACGAGTTCACAGCCCACCTGGTGTTAAGTGGTTACTGGAGCCCATAGACATCTACAACGTAAATGCCGCCACCCACCTTGAGACATGAGCTGTAAGGACTCACGTACTCACTCAGGACTTATTTATCCGTTTTAGTGAATAAAAATAGAGCGATATTATATACATATATAGAAAATTGTTTTAAATGTCGTCTTAGTGCTGTGAGAAAGCAAGGTATGCTTATTGTGCTTACAAAAAGTTTTGTTACATTTTTTAACTATATACTTTACTATTTACTATTTCACTTTACTACATATTTCATTATGCATTGATATAAATGTTTAGGAATCCACCAGCAATTTGGCATCATTACTTCATGATGAAACAAATTAGTAATGATGATAAACGATGCATGATTCGTGCCAAGCGTCTTTACAAATTTTAATTTTTTTATTAATTGATTTCACAACTTGTACTAAAGTGAGAGCATTTCAGGCTCTCAGGTAATTACCTGTTTGTTCTCATCGACCCCAGAAACTCGGATGATATTGACGCCTATGTACACTGTAGTGTTTTTACCTGTAAAAATGGAAAACGTAATTAGATTAGGAATGGAATTTTTTAATAGCCCCTATGTCTGCTTGTAGCATTGAGACTAGATTTAGAATTGAAAGGCTACGTTATTGAACGAAGCCGTGAACTATCTATTAATTAGAATGTGAATGTCAAGTATTGCTTTAGGTGGGCAGAGGATATCATGGCGCAGTTGATGCTAAGCTATCATCCGGGCATATAGTTGCATACTAGTTGACGTTTTTTACTGGTGGTATTACCTCTTGTGAGTCCGCACGGGTAGTTACCACCGCCACGCCTATTTCTGCCGTGAAGCAGTAATGCGTTTCGGCTTGAAGGGTGGGGCAGCGTTTGTAACTACACTGAGACCTTAGAACTTAAATCTCAAGGTGGGTGGCGTATTTACGTTGTAGATTTTTTTTTTTTTATTGCTTAGATGGGTGGACGAGCTCACAGTCCACCTGGTGTTAAGTAGTTACTGGAACCCATAGACATCTACAACGTAAATGCGCCACCCACCTTGAGATATAAGTTCTAAGATCTCAGTATAGTTACAACGGCTGCCCCACCCTTCAAACTGAAACGCATTACCGGTAAAATGGGGCGATTAGGGATTGAAAGGCGAATCGGGAAAAAACCGGGAAAATCTTTCGACGCTCAATATAAGTTTTATATTCGTTGCAAAATCTTCCATTTTTTTATAGTTTAATAGTAGAATGTTGAAAGTTCACAAAACAACTCTGAATATGCATGATAATAGCTGCTAACTTATAAAAAATCGCGTTTGAAATTAACTTCCTGTGGTGGTAATTATTTTAGTGCTAGAAACTTTGCTCTCTTTTATTTATTTGATAATAATAGAAGACGACTATGATTTATAAACGTTATTTAGTGTTTGAACCAGCATATATATTAAAGGTAAGTCTCAGTTGTTATTGGTTTTAATGTATTTGATTAAATAAAAATACATGTAAAAATCTGTTGTTTTTGGGGATATTGGGGACGTCTTAGGTACAAATAACAACGAAAAAGGGGTCAATTGGGATGAGAATACGTGAAATGGAAACGACCTAAGTATAAATAGGTACAGGTTTGTAGGGTTGTCTATGTAGTTATAACAATATTTTTTAAATTTGTTGGTAAAAATCTGGTTTATTCGAAGCGAAATTGGGAATAAGTCTTTATTTGAAATAGATAAGCAATTTAATATAAGTAAGTCGATTTTGCAGAGACATGTAACAAGATCAATGAAATCTCAAGGTGGACAAAAATGTCTAAGTAATACATAATAAAATATTTAATATTTGTTCAGAGTGGGGGTATTCATCTGATTAATCCATGGAATAACCGACACACCTAATCTCTTAACCCAGATAGAAATATCAGCACTGTCGATTGCACCTATAATTGAGGTGATGTCTGCCATGTACTTTTGTCAGTTTTTCAATTTTTTTTATTGATGATCACTTTGTTGGTGCAACTAAATAAATAAATAAATTAAAACTATATATAAAAATAAAAGTAGTGCCAACCCTAGCAAATTTCTCATTTCGTCCCAATTAACCGCAATTTTCGGGTAAATAGGGATTACACATATTTTTGCATTTTTTGCTTAAACTGGAATGCTAGTTGCATAATTTTAAATTAGACAACAAAGATGCCCCCAAGACTCAATCATTTTGATCCTGATATAGAATTATATACATCAACAACTACCTTAAAATTGCTCATAAAGTTGGAATTTGTCCCTAATCGCCCCATTTTACGGTACTGCTTCACGGCAGAAATAGGCAGGGTGGTGGTACCTACCCGCGCGGACTCACAAGAGGTCCTACCACCAGTAAATGTCTATGGGCTCCGGTAACCACTTAACACCAGGTCGGCTGTGAGCTCGTCCACCCATCTAAGCAATAAAAAAAAATCGTCGTATTCCCTATTTCCGCTGCTAAGCTTGTACTTGTTTGATTGGTGGGACAACCGTTATACCATGTAATGGAGACTTTGACCTCAAGTCTCAAGGTGGGTGGCGATATTTACGGTGCGGAGTCTATGAGCTGTAAACTCATTTAAGTAATTCAAAAAGATGTAATAATGACTGTCCTACTACTCGAAGCCAAAGGCGTGAATGTTTCGGAGCAGAAATAAAACATTAGTCTTGCAACACACCTCATCAATTAGTTCACCAATAAATTTATATATTTTAGTGGCTTGTTACATTTTATATTACGCTTGCTCTTTTAAAAATCAGCCGTTGAAAGATGGCCTGCCAAATTTATTTTTAAATTAATGTTAAATGCTTTGATATATTATGTAATACATACACTAAATGTAGTTTTGTACGTAGCAACTCATTAAACTATGACATGTCCTTCTTCAAACGAGGCTTGTGGAGAGTATTAAACAGTAGGCAGCGGCTTGGCTCTGCCCCTGGCATTGCTGAAGTCCATGGGCGACGGTAACCACTCACCATCAGGTGGGCCGTATGCTCGTCTGCCTACAAGGGCTATAAAAAAAATAAAAAAAACTGAAATTCCAGATTATGTAATTTTATCACGATTTCAGTACGATACCATGTGGGTTATTTTACGTGAAAATGTTTTCTAAATAATGATTTTTTTATTTTTTTCATTGCTTAGACAAATTAATGAGCTCACTGCCCATATGGTGTGAAGCGGTTACCGGAGCATACAGACATTAACAACGTAAATTACTCCGTCCACTTTGAGACATGAGTTCTAGGGCTCAGTTCTATAGTACAAAGGTCCTACAAATCGGAAGGAATTACTGCTTCGCGGTAGAAATCGGCAGGATGATGGTACGTACCGGTGCGGGCTCACAAAGCGGGTAAGCGGTATAGCTATTGTTGAGAAGCACACTAATTTCTGTATCGCACTGAGCGAATCAAGTTTTTTACTTTCAGGTCATGATAAATGTCGTTATAGAATGCTACATAATTAAAACATACCCACATAAATAGTATTGGTACACAATAATGAATACTAGTCAATAGTACCTATTACTACATTATTATTTTTATAATTGTTTTGTCTTCACATTCTCGATTTATAGAGTTACAAAAAAAACACACACAAACACACACACAGCGCATCACTTCTTCAATAGAATCAAACGAGTTGACGTGAGAATTTTTTTTATTACAAAAAAAATGTTTTGCAACAATGTTTTGTATCAAATTTAGTGGATAGTGGTGAATTTTGTTGAAAGAACATCACCCACTTTTCGGCTACTATCATCATTTATTTTGTTTAATAAATTGCCTAAAGTGGGGTAAAGTCGAAACGCTGCGTAAGTTCCGGCCTAAAGTGGATGGCCCAGACTGGCGACCTCACTCGATATCTGACGCGTGATGAAAATCCGTGTCTAAAAATATTGCCGTTCCCATAAATAGACTGCAGGGTTATATATACTAGGTCGTTACAGTTGTAACTATACTATTATAACTTATCACAGCTATAATTTATATCTAATTATTACGCTAATAAAGTGAAGAATAGATTATTGTTATGATGGCTTTGTCTGAAAGAACAATAGCAGCTTTCTATACAACATTTTACCTGATATCTATTTGAGGCGTCTTGAAATAAAAAAATGCTAAAACGATAAGAATAACATAGCTTAAGCTTAATCAAAAATATTTTTGTTATTAGAAAGTCACAAAAAAAGATATCAACGTGTTTACTTTATAATTTGAGGTTATCTATCAATAATAGATGTCTCTGATTTTTGTAGGCACGGACTATAACAAATTGAAAAAATAAGTAAACGATATATTTAAATAACATTTTTAGTTTTATTATCATAGATGAACCAAGGATACACCTCTAATAGTACTCGAGTAGGTATCCTTAGCAATTGCAGAGCTACCTAGGTACATATACATATTTATAGTTTGTTCTTTTTTCTTTGTAAATGTGTAAAAATGTGTGTCAGATATAGGTACTTTTAACCTTTTGAACGAATTAGTCACATATTTGCGACAAACGAAGGCTAGCAAAAAGCTAATTTATTAGACTATAGAGTCAGTTGTCATACTGTTAAAAGCATTGTCATCTGCAGTGCTGCCATTACTATTATTTAGTTATTTAATTATGTTCTAAATGTAACAAAGGATAATTATATTATTATTTATCATTTTAAATACTTTATGAAAATATTTATCAAAAAATAGTGCTTTTTTGTGGCAATAGTATTAATCGCATCCTTTAAAAATGTATTAAACCGGAAGTACACAAAAATCGAATTAAAAGACGCTTTTTAAAACATTCAGGTAACAAATTGCCATTGTTCTTTGTGTTTACATGCCGCAAAACAAATAGTCCGACTGTATTTTAAATTACAGATCTTATTAAAATCTTTATTTGTATTTGTTGGATTTGGGGGTTGGATCAGAAAAGATCACAACCTCAAAGGCGAAGTCACTATAAAGGTCTTTAAATCAATGACATGAATGATACGAATACAGAAATTTAAAAAATTGTTCACAGCACACTTTAAAAGAGTATTTGATCGAGTTTTTTTTTTCCAAATGTCTGTTCATACATTTGGTTATCAAAACGCATAGCTAGGTATTCAAATATTGTTGGTCCACTGAAAAGATTCATAGGCAGAACCGCAATAACCCTGTGTGAGACCTATTTCCTGAACTAACGTGCACGAATTATGATAATGAAAACACTAATCTTTCTATAAGAAAAACAAAAAAAAGCGAATACACATACCTGGTGGAATGTTTCTATTGTAGTCTGTTGGAACTTGGTACGAATGCTGATCCATATACAGGATCTGGCTGAAAAAAAGTTACAAGAAATTAAACACCAACATTCGGCTATAAAGCATATTCTTTACTCCGGCCCTTATTGCATTACCTTAGATTGATACATAGAGCAAAGTTTGACTGTGAATTTTTTTCCCTACCTATCCGCTGGCAGTCTAAAGGGCTATTCCTGCTAAGCACGGACGGGTAGATGAGCTCACGGGCTCAACCTGAGAGAGTTTGCTAACATTAGCTAGAGCATTAGTTTTAAAAATATAGCTTTTAAAATTCAAATATCAAGAACAGCATTATTTTCCAAGTTTTTTGTTTGTTGCTTAGATGGTTGGACGAGCTCACAGCCCACCTGGTGTTAAGTGGTCACTGTAGCCCATGGACATCTACAACGTAAATGCGCCACCCATTATGAGATATATATAGTTCTAAAGTCTCAGTATAGTTACAACGGCTACCCCACCCTTCAAACCTACCCGCGCGGAGTCATAAGAGGTCCTACCACCAGTGAATATTTCATAATATAATTCACACATACCTAATGTCAAGTGTATATACGAGTAAATATTAAACGTTATTAAATAAATCACAATGAATTGCTTGAGGTACATCGTTCTAGAAGCTGTTCTTTTGCTATTAAGCCGAAACGTTATCGTTTTTCTATAAAAGACACGAAGATAGTAACATGCGTTTGCTCAGATTATACCGATCCGAATATCTTTAAATATTCAATTAAAGGAAAGCACTCTCTATAAAATTTCAAAGAGAAAATTCCATGACTTCAATTGAAGTCGAACGCAAAGCGAAACGTAATTAGGTTTTTAAATACGCTTTTATTAGCTTCAGACGTATGTATGTATGTTTGTAACGGAATCTTTGAACATTATTTTGACCCCCTCCAAAACTTCGGATTAACTCGAAATTTGGTATACTTATTAAGGATCGATGACAATTAATAATAATAAAAAATTGAAAATCAAATAAAAATTGAAAAATAAATAATAGTTTAAAAAAACTAACAAAATACGCTTTTGTAGAAAATCCAACTAAAAAATAGAAAATAAATTTGAATTAAAAATAGTGTAAGAAAAAATGATTTTATTGTAAAAAAGCGTGGGGTGCTTGGTATAAGTAGTTATCAATATTTTATGAATAACTACTTACTTACAATAAAATCATTTTTATTTACACTATTTTTAATTCAAATTTATTTTTTATTTTTTAGTTGGATTTTCTACAAAAGCGTATTTTGTTAGTTTTTTAAACTATTCTTTATTTTTATTACCACGTTTATTTTTAGTTATTCTTCGGCGTTAGGCCTTGAGTGAAACAGAAACCGTCAGAGGATCTTACATGACAATATTCTATCTATTTTTGAAATAATACGGGCACAAAACTCCAACCTCTTCCAACTGCTTTTTACATTTTTATAATGTTTAGGTAGATGTATGAGCTCAGGGCCCACCTGGTGTTTGTTGGTTACCATATTGCGTAACATGAGGTTCAACTCTCAATTTTATTTTAATTTAACTACAGCATCTTTCAAACCGGGCGGGAAGATGCTACCAACACTTTCGGGCTTCCCTACCAACTTCTTAAGCCTTCTTCAGTAACTACGACTATTTCCTCTATAATATAAAATTCTACTGTTATTATGTATTATGAATTAAAAATTTATGGTGTAGTTTAGAAATTTTGCCAATTACATAAAGTTTAACTTTTTTTTTCTTAGATGGTGGCTAGAGCCCATAGACATTTACAATGTAAATGCGCTACCCACCTTGAGATGTAAGTTGTAAGGTCTCAGTATAGTTACAACGGCTACCCCACCCTTCAAGCCGAAGCCCATTAATGCTTCACGGCAGAAATACGAGGGGTGGTGGTACCTAGACGTGCGAACTCACAAGAGGTCCTATCACCAGTAATTACGCAAATTATAATTTTGCGGGTTATTCCTTTATCGTGGAAGTCGATCGTGAGCATTTGATAAGTACGTATTTGATTAGAAAAATTGATACCCGCCTGCGGGATTCGAACACCGTTGCATCGCTCTATACGAATGCACCGGACGTCTTATCCTTTAAGCCACGACGACTTCCATGTAGACATTTTGACTGCCATGTAGGTCCCTACGTGGCGCACTGAAGTAATTATGTCGATTTCTGTTACTAACCACCTGGATTACCTAACGTTGCCTTCTTTTGTTTGTCAATGTATGTTTTAGTCTTTTAGGTCTTTTAGAAATAGATTCATTCTCAGTACCTTCGGATTCGTCTTTCCCAAAGTCTACTAAATATTCTAGCGCCTTAGTACGAGGATTGAAGAGCAAAATCGACATAGTTACTGCGCAACATAGGGCACCAGTTATTTACATGGCAGTCAACGTGTTAATGTTAGTGCAAGGAGTCGCTGTGAAATGTTAGAAAAATCAAAATTCGCTTTAAAAGCACTGATTTGAATCCCAACAATTTAGTTCGAATCTTGGCATCTAATTTAATTTATCGTAAATTATAAAGTTAACTTATTTTAGTTGAAAGTAATGCAATTACCCGCGAAGGCTGCGTCGCGATGCGCTAATGGATTAAACTGACGCAAGCCAAGTTAAAGCCTCTGATAAAAATAGGGCGTCTTACAAAGGATAACTAGCCTGTTATCTTATTGTTTTAAATAAGTTAATTAACTCAAACAATGGATTATATTTATGACCTAATAGGTAAGATGCTGACAGCTACGCATTTATGTCAAGCTTCATATCTAGCACTGGTGTCAGTTATGCCAAATAATTATTGTACTTAATATTCATCAATAAATTTTCAAAGATGTAGGAAAAGCGCTGCGTAATAAAATCAATCTCAAATCAACATTTACGAGTATACTTATTGGTATTATGTTATAGTCTCCTCAAGCTGGTCTCTATTATAATTGTGATTTTTCTTTTTGATCCTCGATGAGACTTTAAATCGCCACAATCTTATATGGCATGTCCCTTTTCAAACGAGATTTAGAGCAATTCCTCAGCAGTAGTCAGCTTCTTAGCTGTGCTGGCATTGCTAATGTCAATAAGTCACGGTAACCAGCCACCATTCGATAGGTCGTATTGCCTAAAAGTTTTCTCCAAATACCGCTCTGTCGATAACAGTCTACAGTAATAGTGGGAGAGTACATAGTTATCGTATTTACCTTCGTGGGCAATGAGGGCTCATGGCAAGTTCCTACAACGATGCTATCTATTCAGTTTGAAGGGCCAAGATAACAAACAGTACATAGCATAAGGCAACAGCAATCGCGTGCCTAACATACCGATCTTGTTTACAGAGCAAGTTATGAAGAATCAAAATGAGGTCAATGTCACGTAAATAATGAGGCTACCAAGTAAAGCAAAGCACATATCGTGACCGTAGCACGAAACCGTCAATCAATTAAAAGTGATTAGTTAAGGGAGAGCTTTAAGAAATCGTTATTATTTCGGAAATATTAAAGAAGAATTATATGTTTATAGATCACGCTAATACAGAAATTTTCATCTTTTTTTTTAGATATTAATATAATAGATACTATTTATCGTATTTCAAAGTTATCAATCCGGGGTTTTTGTTTTTTGTTGCTTAGATGGGTGGATGAGCTCACGGCCCACCTGGTGTTATGTAGTTACCGGAGCCCATAGACATCTACAACGTAAATGCGGCCACCCACCTTGAGACATGAGTTCTAAGGTCTCACTTGTAACAGTACAATGGCTGCCCCGCCCTTCAAACCGAAACGCCTTACTGCTTTACGGCAGAAACAGGCAGGATGGCGGTACCTACCCGTGCGAACTCACAAGACGTGCTACCACCAGTAATTACGCAAATTATAATTTTGCGGGTTTGATTTTTATTACACGATGTTATTCCTTCAGTATGGAAGTCAATCATAAACATTTCTTAAGTGCGTATTTCATTAGAAAAATTGGTACCCGCCTGCGGCATTCGATCACCGGTGCATCGCTAGATACGAATGCACCGGACGTCTTATTCCTTAGGCCACGACGACTTCCTTGCAATTATTACATCCGGGTAATTGCGTTAGCATGCTTTATGAGCGCGTAAGGGTAGAGACACATCTATTCTGCCTATTTTTGCCGGGAAGCAGTAGTGAATTACTATGTGAGGATTGGAACAGCTGTTAAACACTACGATTGGGGCTTTCGGTCTCATGTCCTAATGTGAATAATGACATTCGCCCTGCCATGTTCGGTCTATCAGCTCCGGTAACTATTTGTGTGTATGAAGTCGTCGTGGCCTAAAGGATAAGACGTTCGGTGCTCTCGTGTTGAGCGATGCACCGGTGTTCGAATCCCAGGCGGGTACCAATTTATCTAATGAAATATGTACTCAACAAATTTTCACGATTGACTTCCACGGTGAAGGAACAACATCGTGTAATAAAAATCAAACCCGCAAAATTATAATTTGCGTAATTACTGGTGGTAGGACCTGTTGTGAGTCCGCGCGGGTGGGTACCACCGCCCTGCCTATTTCTGCCGTGAAGCAGTAATGCGTTTCGATTTGAAGGGTGGGGCAGCCGTTGTAACTGTACTGAGATCTTAGAACTTCTGTCTCAAGATGGGTGGCGCATTTACGTTGTAGATGTCTATGGGCTCCAGTAACCATTTAACACCAGGTGGGCTGAGAGTTCGTCCACCAATGTAAGCAAAAAAAAAAAAAAATTTAACACTAAATGAGCAGTGAGCTCCTCGTAAATGGTAGTTTAGAATAAAAAACGTAAGCCTGAAGTTAAAATCAATAATTTTCGCTGGTCCATATCTACAAATATTATGTAACTATACCTATCACAAGTAAAATACCTAATGTGTTCTTTTATTGTTACAAGATTAATATTTGTAAAGGAATTTCTGGAAATTTAGTTCGAGAATTTCAGTTACTTTAACTTGGTTCCAAGCATCAGGTGGTACGACCATTAGATGCTTTTCACGACAAACATGAATTATTTAATGCGAAAGACATTACATTTTTATTATA